TTTTCTGCGGGCGCCCATGTATATCTATATACATATATCTATATATCTATATATATATCTCTATATATCTCTCTCTATATATATCTATATATACATATATCTACATATCTATATATCTATATATCTATCTATCTATATATATATATAAAGTTACATTTAACGCAGTTATCGGTAATTTTATTGTATCTTCCCTTTGAAAAACATGAACAAATGATTTTTGAAGGTTGGGGCTGAAAACTTGACGGAATGTGTTGTCATCAGCAGCGAGTCTATGCGATGTCCCCAATTTCAGTTAGATAGGTTGACGGGAAGTGGGTCAATTAGCCGTCCGAAGATTTTGCCAGCCAATAACACACAAAAAAAAAGAATCGAAGTTATTACCTAAACTAAATAAAAATTTAAAAATCTCCGAGTTGATGGATCGACCACCAATAAATAACACAGGCAAATAAAAAAACAAAAAAAACTAAAAAAGTAACAACACACGAAAACACATATTGTCTTGGTTCAGTCTTTTCTAGTGTTTTGGGGGCCGCTGACTCCTAAAATCGGATCGGATTTATCGTTATAGCTCTAGTTTTTAAGATATAGCTGAATTATTAAAAGTTAACTTCCCTTCATTTGATGTCTTTTGCTAAATCATAAAAACTATTATAATTGAATGGGAAAATGTATGCATAGAGATGAGCAATTATTTGTTTGTGTATAAAGGCATTTGTCTAATTCCTTTCTTCCACGCACTGGCATAAAACTGTCCGTTTCAAAGGAGAAAAACACAATTTTTCAGCTTTATTTGCTAATTACGTGCAAGCTATTTAGATGGGAATTCGTGATTTTTTAAGACAACTTAAATTTTCATTTCCTAAGCTTCTCAGCCCGATCTTTAAATACAGCTGCACATCGATACAGATTTTCAATATTAAGGAACTGAGTTTAAGAAAAGAATTCATATATGTTTTTGTAGTGCCAAGCTTTGAAATCAAGATACCCATGGGTTTTGCATAATGTAAAATGTTCACACCATATAAAAAAAATAAAATAAAAAAGCCAATTCCACACTGGGTTTCATTCGAAGAAATCTGCACCACTGTCCAACCTCCTGCAAACGAAATGCCCATCTTGCACTCGCCCGTCCATTACTAGAGTATTGTGCGATCATCTGGGACCATACCTAAAGCAAGACGTGGACAAGATGGAGCGAATCCAAAGTAATGCAGTGCACTTCATCGCAAGTGACCACTAATCCACCACTCCTGGCTTCGTCACTGGCCCCTTAAAAGGATTTGACATCCCCTCCCTTAAAGACAGACGAGAAAAGCTCCGTCTAACATTCTTATATAAAGTGGTCACAGGGCTAGTGCCGACCATCCCAGCAAATACCTATCTCACCCCACAGGAGCCAGGTCGCTTAATCAGAGCCAAACGCTCACTAAACACTGACTTCACCTCTAACAACCGCATAAACAATTACATCCGGAACAATAGCAAATGCTTCACTGTGCCTCGGTGTAACACAGTGCAATATAAACAATCATTCTTCCCATGCACAATAATCGCTTGGAACCACCTGGACAATGCCGCCGTGGACTCGACATCATTCGAGAGCGTCACGGCTGCCCTGGCATCTGCTGGGAGCCTTTATGATAGCAACATCGCTTCCCTAATCGTTGCACATATGCCAGTTCATGGATTCAGCAACGTACCCTACCAGAACCAGAAAAGGCTTACTTAGCATTTGCTCCTATCGACGAATGCTGTCCTAAATACTAAAAGTAAAAGAAAAGAATTAACTTCAGTCTGAAACAAACATTACATTTAATCATTAATCGAAGGAAGGGGGGGGGGGGAGGATTTGTTGCCATTTTTATTAAAAAATCGAAGACAAGATTTTAATATGCAATGACCCCAGACATCTTCTAAAGATCATCGATCAGTGCGTCCATGGCATCATTTCATGAACAGTTCAAAGCGTTGTTTGAAATCTGTTCTTTTAATAAATACTTAGCATTTGCTCCTATCGACGAATGCTGTCCTAAATACTAAAAGTAAAAGAAAAGAATTAACTTCAGTCTGAAACAAACATTACATTTAATCATTAATCGAAGGAAGGTGGGGGGGGGAGGATTTGTTGCCATTTTTATTAAAAAATCGAAGACAAGATTTTAATATGCAATGACACCAGACATCTTCTAAAGATCATCGATCAGTGCGTGCATGGCATCATTTCATGGACAGTTCAAAGCGTTGTTTGAAATCTGTTCTTTTAAGAAATGACAAAAAATATTGGTAAATTCCAGTCAGTCAGTCAACCAAAATGAAAAATAACATTAGGTTTTATTTAGTCTAAAAGAAGGCAAACTGAAATGAAACCCGGAGATGGAATACCGTAGGCGGTATGACATTGAAACTCTGAGAATTTTGACAAGTCCTACGACGTAGAGCGCAAAAACGGCAAAAAAAACAAAACAAACAAACAAAAAAAAAAAAGCACAGTGAAACACACACACGACACAGTGCTGGTGATTGGGTCACTTGAGATCCAATGACCAACTTATTGATCCGAATAAATAAAAAAAGCGTTAACTAAAAACATTTTAGATTCAAATGACAATTTTAAACAAGATAATTTAATGTTAGAAATTTTTAAAGTATTTCAAAAAGACAGCCAAATGTCACACCTCACTTCTCGAATGCTAATATTTACTTTGAAAGTAGTCTTTCGATGCTCCAATAAAGGGGGGAAACCGCTGATAATTTTTGATAGATTGGGAGAACAAAGTAATCTCTGATGACTTGGAAGAACAAAGTAATTTTTGATGGCTTGGGAGAACAACGTAATTTCTGATGGCTTGGGAGAACAACGTAATTTCTGATGGCTTGAGAGAGCAAAGTAATTTCTGATGGCTTGAGAGAACAAAGTAATTTCTGATGGCTTGGGGGAACAAAGTAATTTCTGATGGCTTGGGAGTACAAAGTAATTTCTAATGGCTTGGGATAATAAAGTAATTTCTGATGGCTTGAGAAAACAAAGTAATTTCTAATGGCTTGGGATAATAAAGTAATTTCTGATGGCTTGAGAAAACAAAGTAATTTCTGATGGCTTGGGAGAACAAAGTAATTTCTGATGGCTTGGGAGAACAAAGTAATTTCTGATGGCTTGGGAGTACAAAGTAATTTCTAATGGCTTGGAAAAGTGGGGCCTGGGGCGAAGCCTAAAAATTGCGCCCCTCAATATATAGCAAAAAGTGCCACCCGGGCGGACTTGTAAAACAAATATTTTGGCGCTCTTTGTCTTTGTGAAGTACATGCGAAATTATCGTTTAATTCATTATTAAGGTCTTTGTAAAGACGTTTTTGGCGCCCCCCCCCCCCGATAAAAGATAGGCTAACTATTCGCCTTCTACAGTGGGACAGTCAAGGGTTTTTGTAAGAAGCTATTAAATGCTGACACTTTTTCTACAGTAGCTTTCTGAATTCGCCCTTTGATCGATTGAAAGTGTTATGGTGAAGGATGGTGATTTTGATTGAATGATTAACGATTGTGCAACTTTGATAATGAGGAAGGGAAATTTTTAAATGTTAAGTTCNGTTGGGGCGCACTGTGTGTGTGCCCCACCCCCACACCTATTCCTCTCTCTCTCTCTCTCTCTCTCTCTCTCTCTCTCTCTCTCTCTCTCTCTCTCTCTCCACACAACCCTGAGTCTAACTTGAGAATTGAAACTTAACCAAGGGTGATTTTTTACGGTCAGGTTCAGGGAAGAATCGGAGGAGGTCCATGGGGGAAAGCTTTGGAAGGGATGATGGCATCATGATTTTACCGCACTGAATTGAAACTAGCCCTAGCCTAGTGATGCCACTGGGAATAAAAAGCTTATGGTGTGAGAGACGGGAAACGCGAAAGTCCACGTCATATGTTTAAAAAAATGTAATAATAACCAAAATTCGGGGGGGGGGGGGGGTTTGGTCAGTTGATACACTGACGACCGTGACCATGAATGTTGTTCCATTACACAGCTTTCTGTAAACCAATTCATTATGTGCAACAAAAGCATACAATCCATTTGTTTAAAGAAAAAAAATATACTTTGTCATTATAATTCTAAATGACACTGGTGTTCCGATTGCTGTAATAAATTAGACTAGGATGTTATAAAGTTAGTATATTATTATGGTAGGGTGACAAAAAATCCCGTAAAAACGGGTAAATCCCGTTTTTTCACGATCGTACCCGGTGTCCCGAAAAATTCTCTCGGGACGCCTAAATGTCCCGTTTCTAAAACCAAACACATTTTCAAATCACTGAAACTTCCTAATTTATAACTTAACATCAAGTAATGTTTTGGCTAGTTGTGTAGCCAGTGCCAGTAGTGATGTGGGCTCGCGTGATGGCTGCACTGTTCCCCACTCCACCCCTCTGCCTCTGCTGACGCTGCGTAAACAACAGTGTCCCTGCCATATTCATTGCAAAATTATTGTTTTCGTTTATGATATGCCTCAGAGTTTAAATTAAATTACAAAAGTGAAAATAAATTTAAAAAGATTTCTAGGTCTCAAAATAGTTAAAATGAGCAGATTTCAATAAACAGTTTCCGACCGAAGCCCCCGGACCCCTCATTTAGCTGGAGGGTATCCCCCTCAACCCTCCTTGGGTGTGTGCCGTTTCCTCCAGTTCATGATTTGGTCACCCTAGTTTAAGATTCATTATTAAAACCAACCTCCTCTTACGTTTCCCCCTTCCCCTTTCAGCCCAATCCAAGCCCACTGGTTCTTCTTACGAGCAAATTAAGTGGGGGTTGGGGAGGGCGTATGCTATGGGGGGGGGTTGATTTAGGAAGATAGTAGGGGAGCGGAGGGTTGGACTGCTGGGGAGGATTAGTGGAAAACGGTTTTACAGAATTTTAATTTACCAAGAGTCATTTAAGAGTAGAGAAATATGAGCTTGGCTAAAAGCGAAAGTAGAAAATTCGTCAGCTGGTATATCCCAGCATCCATGTAAGGACATGACGTCACGGAGAAAAACATTTGGGACTCGTCAAGGATTGCTCTTTTGCTACAGAACAATCGTCAAACTTTATTCATGGCCTGTTGGTTTGTAATTGAGACAAATTACAAACCATAGCTTTTCTAAGCAATACTGGCATCGTCGTCCGATTCAGAAGACGGTGGTGTCTCGCCCCCACCGCTAAAAAAACTGCGATTTTCACTCACGAATATGCAGGCTAATGGCTGTTCACAACACAACGGGACGACTGAACCTTTTGAGTCTCACTCACTTAGAAATCCCCCTTCGACATCGAACGGAGAGGTGACAACAAACGGCAATATGGTGGGCCAAAATAACAGAAATTTATCTAGAACAGACCAAGACATTGTCAGACTAATTGGCCAACATTTACGGGGCTTAGGATTCAAGTGAGCCCAAAAACAAATTCTTTGTTCTTTTTTTTATTAGAAAAAATACAAGTTCTCTATGATGCTGTTTCAAGTGTTTTTTTTTTTTTTTGCAATTTATTTACATTTCAGAATTATTTTATGTTAGTCTGTAAGACCTCACTAAAGGAAATATTGTTAGTGATAGTATAATCAAGAAAAAGGCCCAAGTCAAGTGTAATTAAAATTAATAAGTAAATTAAAAGTAATAATTATAAGACTGACATTAATCCAATCTCAATTATGAGGTTTTGAGCCCCTTTCTACTACTAGATTCATGATTTAAGATTTATAAGTCAAGTTTAAATCACTAAGTCAACATTACATTATGTTAAGTACCGGTAACTATACTGGGATGTTATTTAAAAAAGGGTTAAAAATTTAATTTTAAGTTACAATAAGTAAACTAACTAATTTATCAATTTCATTCAGTATTCCAAGAATTCTTTGAAACTTCATTAACCTAATCAAAAATTATCTATTGCTCATGTAAGCTTTAAAAGAGGTTGTGTTTCAATAAAATGTTTTAAATAGTTTTCCTAGGCAATAGGAAACAAAATGAAAGAAGATGGCTTTGAATTTAATTTTTTTAATTTTAAACACAAAATTCTTTCTCAAACTTTAATGAATGGCATGCAAAGAATTATTTATCAAAAGAACAGCAATCCCTGTAAGATTTTTTTCCCATTTGTGCATTCAGAAGTTTAATTAATATACTAATTAATTGCAAAAAACACTAAAAAGTTTATTATGTTTATTATACCTAATAATGCCATAATTTACCAACATATTGCATAGTTTACTATTTGGGGAGTCACATACACTGACATCTTGATTTTTTTTAAATGGTTTCTGATATTAATAAATCTTAAGTTTATATTTTTTAGCATTGAAGTAGTATAAGGCTAATTTTTTTAACAAAAGAAAAAACCCAGTTACCTTTTAAAAAAAAAAAGTTTTCCTTTAGATAATACATTTTTCCATTATAGTCAAACAGCTGAACAATTGATAGCAGAGTCTGGATGTGCACTGGAACACCCAACAGCAGCTAGGTTTAGAGCCCATGTTATGGAGGGTGAATGGGAAAAGGCAAGTATTCAGCCTAAAACTGAACATAATAAATAGTATTTTATGAGTATCTACTGTAAATATTTGATAGCAACTTGTGCTTTGTTTTGTTAAACAAATCTTACTGGAAATAAAATTAGCAACATAAAAAGCAAGGATGTCTAGAAAAAATTATTTTAATCTCCTTCAAATTATACCACGTAAGTTGTACTATTTTCTCATCTTAGTAGATTGAGAAAAATTTAAATGATATTTAACTAGATTTAGAGTCATAGTTTTGTTTAAAAATGTAGATGCTCATTACCAATTATTACCATACTAACTAATATTTTTACCAAATAGACAAATATATATTTCTGAGGAAATTAGCTAGTCAATCTGCAGTCCCATTACTATACTTCTTTGAAAGTTATTTCAAGCTCTTTATTTAATGTTAATTAATATCAATTATTTGATCATAAAACATTTTTTAGCTTTTCCCAAAAAAAAAAAATCCAGTAAATCGACTATTTTTGTCCATTTTCAGACTGAGGAAGACCTTCGTGAACTTGAAGCACTTGTCAAAGGTGGAAAAGGAGATGTTATTGTAAGTTAACATTAAAATAATCTTTGTTGTATTGTATTAGATTTTACATTATTTAATTTTACTCTTAATCCACAATTTGGGGGGGGGGGGGTGGGGTGGGTCAATGGGTTTTTATAACAATTTCTTAAGAAATGAATGTTTTTTTAATTCACAGAAAATGAAATTCTTGCTTCTAGAGCAGAAAGGAAAAGGAGATGTTATTGTAAGTTAACATTAAAATAATCTTTGTTGTATTGTATTAGATTTTACATTATTTAATTTTACTCTTAATCCACAATTTGGGGGGGGGGGTGGGTGTGGTGTGTCAATGGGTTTTCATAACAATTTCTTAAGAAATGAATGTTTCTTTAATTCACAGAAAATGAAATTCTTGCTTCTAGAGCAGAAATACTTAGAGCTTCTGGAGGATGGGATACCTCTTAAGGCCTTGGAATGTTTAAGACATGAACTTACTCCACTCAAATACAACACAGAGAGAGTACATGTTCTAAGCACGTATGTAATTTCTGTTATGCCTTCTCATTGTTCTAGCATAATAATCATGCAGCCCTCAATCAGCCTCTGTTCCACCCTCCTATTTTAACATTACGCATAAAATTAAAGATAATTAAATGATGAACCAATATTTTTTTAATCAAGCTACTCAAAATGAAAAATATTATCTTTTTATCATCTACACATTAGCAGTATCCTATTCCAAATGAAATATGTATGGCTACATGATAAAAAAAAATATTTTAAGTTTCTGACCTGTCAAAATAATTGCAGATGGAGATATGAACTATACTTCAAACAATATTTTTATAGTCAAAAATCTTAACCATGACTTATTTTAAAGGTATATGATGTGTAGCAGTGCTGCTGAATTGAGAGAAAGTTCCCACTGGGAAGGAAAAGGTGCAGCCAGCAGACAAAAACTTATAGAGAATCTTCAAGGTAATCTTTTTCTTTTCTCACTTAGTTCAGTTAATGAACATTTTTTAAAGAATACAACATTTAATGAGCACATTTTCAAAATCTGTATCAATCACTTCAATATCTGGCACCACATTAAGAAAGATGCCATGTGACTTAGATAACAGTAGTAATTTGATTTACTTTTCATCATCCCAGAATTCCTCCCTCCTTCAATCATGCTCCCACCTCGGCGATTGTTTACGTTGCTGAGCCAAGCTGTCGAGCAGCAGAAAGAAAAATGCCCTTACCACAACACACAACTCGATTCTGATCTCTCATCAATATCTCTGCTCATGGATCATATATGTACCAAGTAAGTACAGCATCAGATCTGTTTACTCTTACTGTTTTGGCATACAATTATGATTTTTCGCAGAGACCTGTCAGAAGTACCATTTTAAGAGACCGACTTGAAAATATAAACATTCCGGTAGTTTTTTCGATTTAAAAAAGAAAGTAAATTTTCAAGTCGTTTGTTTTAGCACCTTTCTGCATCCAGTGGGGAATGGAACGATTTTTACGATTGGTTGGGGACCATCTATAATTATATTACGTTCCCCCTGAGAGGGGAAGCCGGTAGGGAAAGGGGATGATGTTCTTTTAGAATTTATGTATTATGTGTCGGTGGGGGGGAAGTCAAAATATTGAAGCTTATAAAAAAAAACCGCCACACTATTATGATGATGATGATGGTCATATTGTTGCTTTGTGTTTTCAAAATGAACTCGCTAGACACGGCAACAATAATATTAGCGTAGTCATCCTAGTGACAATTTTAGATAATCCTCGCTTTTGTTTTCTTCATTATTTATACTGTGTTTATTTACAATTAAGATACTGTAATGTATGATTTTAAGACAATGTACGAGTTTAGGAGTTCAATGCTAACCAGGTCTTTAGCATGGAGTTACTACTCAGTATCCTCTTATTAGGTTTTGAAATAATGAGGGTTGTGATCGGGAGAGGGGTGGATGGTTGGTGTGCCGAAAGAGTCTTTGAGTTTGTGGATCTTTTTATATTTTGTTTTCCATACAAGTTTTTAACTAGCTGAATTTAAAAATAAAAATTTCTTTTTATAATGCTCTTAATGATTTCATTAAATATTTAAATTGGGTTAGTTAAAATAATAGATGTGTGCAAAGACTTTTCATTTCACTGATAACAAGGATAGTTCCAGCAAAGGATAAATGTCTTCATCAGGCTTCCAAGGACTCATTTTTAAGCAAAAACAAAAAATGCGACATAAGTCTATTTTACTTATCAACATTATCCTTACCAGTACGGTAAAAGTCTTGAATTTGATTTTAATGAAATATTTAAATCCAAAATATAGACTATGTCCTGACCTGGACTTTATTTTATCAGAGAGCAGTTTCCAAATGTGACAACCCAAGTTCTAGACCACCAGGATGAGGTGTGGCACTGCCAGTTTTCTCCAGACGGCTCTCGGCTCGCCACAGGTTCAAAAGACAACAAACTAATCATATGGGAGGTTGACACAGTAAGATAATTTGTTTTTTCCTAACCACATTATTTCATGAAGTGAAGGGGTTGTTTATTATTAGTCAGACTTAATATCTTCTATACACATCTAACTTCATTCTAATCAAATTAATTAATAATTGTTTTGGTAATTTAGTTTTTACTTTTTCTTGATGGCGGTATATGTAGGTCTTTATAAATGGATTTTCTCTTTCATAAACTTGTTTTTGCAATACCATTATTGTCCCTTATTCTGCCCATTGTAAAATTATAAAAAGAGAGAAATATAAGCCTACCAATATTCTAAAATAATATTTCAGTTGCATTTTGAAGTAAAAAACCCACGAACCCTAGATGAACATAAATTTGGTGTTGGCTTTGTGACATGGTGTCCAGACAATATTCACATTCTTGTGTGTGGACCTGATGAAACAAATGAAGTGTTTATTTACAATGCTGTGGTAGGTTTCTAGATGTTTTTATGATTTGTGATTAATCACAGGCTTATTTTAATATTTACACTACCATGCGACTCACAATAATATCTTTACTTAAGTATAAGTGCTGTGAATTAAATTTAGTTGTGTATTAATGAAATGAAAATGTATTTCTTAATGGTCATAATTTAAAATCATAATTTTATTTATTTTTCTATCATTTTATTGTTAATGAACTTACTGAATGCCAAATGGAAACCGACTAAAATTGTGGCCTTCATTTCCTTTTAACGCAATAAATTTTCTCATGGAAGTGAATAAATATTTAAAAAGGCCTAGTTTATATTGTAATTATTGTAGGAATAGATAGGTAGATGGTCCTTTTCAAAAGTGCAATGAAAAAGATTGGCATGTATTATAACATTAGAATTTCCCATAAACTTGTTCTTGATGCTTAAAGATTGTACAACATGTCCATTTTTCACAGAAATCATTTTGTCCACACTGAGATGAACATTATACCAGTGATGTTACTGTGTCTCGCACAAAATCACACATTTAAAACATGCATCACCTTATTAGCAGTCTTTTCTGCTTTAAATGAGATTTTGTGAGTCTTTGATTTTGGGGAAGGATCTGAAGATTAAAAAAACTCTTGTGCGTAATTTTATTTCTGGATCAACTAATTAAATCAAAGGCATATTCTTGTACAGGAGCAGTTATTCAACTACACAATTTGGGCTCTCCATGGGAACTAAGTTTTGTTTTTCTGGCAGTCACCTCACTTGTATCACATTGTCAGCAGTTTACTTCATTTTGAAACAATTACTCTGTTCCATAGACTGGGGATGTTCGGCAACGAATCCATCAGAACACAGATGACAGCTTAACATATGCAGCATGGATGCCAGATGGCCGCAAGCTGGTGGTTGGTGGTGTCAGGGGACAGTTCTATTATTGTGTAATTCAGTTCTTCTCATTGCTTATCTTTAAACATGCTTTTGTCAGTATGCTTCTTGTATCATTTCAGTGTCAGTATGCTTGATAAAACTTTGTGTTTTAGTGGTATGGAACTTGAACTTGATAAGATATTGTGATACCATTTTTGTAAACTGAATAATTAAATATTTTAAACATCTTTTTGGGCCTTTGTTTTGTTACAGGACATTGATGGTAATGTGATTGACACTTGGGAAGGGATCAGGATACAGGGCCTCGCAGCTCTTGATGATAAGGTGGCCCTAGCTGCTGACACACATAATCGGATCAGGGGATACAATTTTGACACATTGCAAGACTTTCCAATGTACATTGTCTGCCCATTCTGTTAGAACTAGAGAATTATATGTATTGATCTTTATTTTATACTGTAGCACAATAATTGTAGATAATTTATAAAGGCCTGTGCATTTATTATGGTATAAAGAAATAGTTAACTGACATAATTATTTGTTCTTTTCAGATAACACGCTGGTATTTAATGTTTATTATTTTTTAAAATTAAAATAATCTTTTTTCATTTGAAACATTAAATTTTAAAGCAATTAATGACCGTTTAATATACATTTATACATTTTTCACAGTCCTCTGTTTCATATTTATAAGATTACTTTGAACAAACTAGTTTTTTTTTTTTTTTTTGTAGCATTCAAGAAGACCACCCTATAATGACATTTGTAATAGATGACAAAAAAGAATTAATCTTAGTCAATGTTGCTTCTCAGGTAAAGTCCTTATTCTATTACACTATAGTTTTCAACGTGCTTGTTGAGTGTTTATTTATTCAATTTTTTAATTATTTGCCATAATCAAATTAAAGGGCAATATAATTTTTTTAGTGTTTAAATCATTTTTTTGTGTGAAATTGTATATTTATTTAACTTTCAGATTTAAAAAACATTTAAAAAGCTTTCACTTTTTCCCTTGTGATTAAAAATTTGAAATGGTTCCCTTTTTATTAACCTTTATGTTTTATTAAATAGTAAGATCAGTTTAACCCCAAAAATTTCAATTTGATGAGGTAGTTGACTTCGTGTTTTGAAAATTAACTTAAAATTTTGTTGAAGTCTGTTTTGAAACTTAAAATGGGAGATTGAATAATGTGCTTGTGCATTTATCAATTATTTATAGACTAGTTTTTGTGTGTGTCTTGGTAACACACCCACATTTGATTATGAAAAAATAATATAATTCCTGCCGAATGTTCAATTCCTTTACTTGTCTAGGGATGTCACTTGTGGGACCTGAAAGACAAAGTTCTTCTACGCAAGTTCCACGGACAAACTCAGGCATTTTTTACCATATACTCGTGTTTTGGTGGCCTCAATCAAGACTATGTGGCCAGTGGAAGTGAAGGTGTGCTGTCATTCTTAACTCGCTTAATTTTTTTGTCAGAAACTAGAAAATAATTTTCATTATAGCTCATTACTTTAGAACCTACTTTCAAAAAGGTAATTTGATATATCCGTAACAGTTTTTTTAAAACTAGTCTACTGTCAGAAGTTATATGATTCAGTCCTTGGGTATCTCAGTTTGAAATTACTGCTTTTTGTTTTTGCATTGTTCGAGCAAAAATAGTGTTGACTGACATAAAACTAAATAAGTCTTTGTTTAATATCATGTCATGGGAACAACCATGACCTGCCACACAAATAAATGAAAGTTTTGGATTTAGAACGTCTATAATGTCATTTGTTACTGTGTCCCCTATTTCAAATAAATCTTGACCCCCACCCCACTTAAAAGAAAAAATAATTGAAAATTTGACAATCTTTGGTTTCCCCTTATTTCTTAAAATAAAAGAAGCATTCACAGCTTAAACTTATGCCCCCCCCCTCTCTCTCTCTCTCTATCTCTCTTTAAACAAAAAAAACTTTTTTTTCAATATATAAATTTTTTTTTACCAAATACTGTACTTCTTAAGAAATAAACATGCTAAAAAACTTTCAAGACATCAAGTGCCTACTTCCCAGAATGCTTTGTAGCATGCAGTAAAACTTTTAAATCTGATAGACACCTGTGTAATGAACTCATAGCAGTTTATCTTGGAGATCCTTTTCCTCTTTCAGCCCTTTGAGCTGGCGAATTTATTTGGCTCTTGATTAAGGTTCAAACAACTTACGCATTTTATAATGTTGGTGTTTGCATAGGCATGTACTTAAATATCCTGTTCTACCTATTTTTACCACAGACCACAAAGTTTTTATCTGGCACAAACGGAGAGAGACCCCAGTAGCTGTTCTTGAAGGCCACAGAATGACTGTGAATTGTGTCCACTGGAACCCTACGGAGCCAAGCATGTTGGCCAGTGCGTCTGACGATGCAACTGTCAGAATCTGGGGACCCAAAGATAAATTAGAGAAGAGGAGAAAAGGTAGAGTAACTTTGTGTGCCAAATTCAATAAAGGTACAGTGACTTTGTGTGCCAGATTCAATAAAGGTACAGTGACTTTGTGTGCCAAATTCAATAAAGGTACAGTAATATTGTGTGCCAGATTCAATAAAGGTACAGTAATATTGTAGGGTGATAACAGTAGGGTGCTGGGTGGCCGAGTGGTCTAAACTGAGCAAATCTCAAGTTGGTGGTCTGGAGTTCAATTCCAGCTAGAGCAAAAACACCACCAGCACCCCGGGTAGATGGGACTCGTTAACCTTGGACGGCAACTCATCTAAGAGAAGGAAACTCTGAAATCAAACCCGGAGATGGAGTCCCGAAAGGCGGATAACATTGATACAATGAAACATTCCAACAACTCCTGCGACGTCACTGGCAGCCAAGCTGTATCATCCAATGATGTTCCCTTGGGTTACCCAGCGGCGTGGTGAGAGGCGATTTGCTGTTGGGAACCAGCTTATAATTCTTCAAGTATAATAATCCAAGGCTATTAGGATTTCGTCCTACGAAGCCCACTCCATCGTCACATTGTGACGGACGGATGCCAGAAAGAAAAAAAAACAAAAAAAAACAAAAAAAAACAGTAAAATTGTGTGTCAGATTCAATAAAGGTACAGTAATATTGTGTGCCAGATTCAATAAAGGTACAGTAATATTGTGTGTCAGATTCAATAAAGGTACAGTAATATTGTGTGTCAGATTCAATGTTTGAACCTTTTTTTAATGCTGCCAGAAAATTTTTCTACTCATTGTAAACGTGAATTATTTTAGGGTAACAATAGAAATTGATGGTTTAACACAAGACAAGCACAGTTGCTAATTTTTATGTGAAGCTCTGTGAGCCTAGCCCAAGGCTGGGGCACCTCGCTAAATATGACCACTTTAATAATAATAACAATAATATAGCCAACCCATTAGATTTAACAGTTTTGCTGCCTTGTAACAAGGCTTAGAGTATACCTACTATAAAATAAAATAGCAAATGTTGAAGAATTCTCCTGACCCCATTCTTATTAAATTACTCATGAATACAAAACAACTTGTCCACTGGTAAAAGTTTTGTTGAGTCATCAGCTAGCTGTTTTGGAGATGGCAAAAAATGAAATGAATGTCCCAAAGAGATGTTTGGAAAAGTGGATTTACTATCTGAATGAATATTATAATTTAGAATGCTTTTTAGGGTGAAACTTTCAGACACTTCTGATATAAATTCAGGCTGAAGATGATTGATCTTGACTTTAAACTTTGTATTAGTAATAGCATTACTAATGATGTAATAGCATTACTAATGATGTAAACAATTGTTAGCTGTTTAAAAAATTGCATAATAAAAGTTAATATTTTTGGCTTATCTCTGCAACCATTTTTCTCATTTTTTCACAGATAGCTTTACCAGTTCTGGTGGCAGCTCCCCGGTATGACCACTCACCTAGCATTTACTCAGATGTCATCCCATCATTTCACCACCCTCTATTATGCATTGAAAAAAATTTGTGTCTGCCATTTCTGTGTCAACTCAGAGCCTTTGTCAAATCTCATACTATGTCAGCTGGTGTAGCAGGGAGTCTGGTCAGTCAACTACTGACCATAGTGGCTAGGGCGTCATCTCTGTTCTCACGAAGGATGTAAGGAGTTAATGTGGCACTTAACTGTTATATTGGATTGGTGAGAAAGTTGGGAAGAAATAACCGCGATCTTTCCCTTCATATGAGTTAGTGATGGAGTTGACTGAATTTTTCTGTCCCTTAATTATTTCACATGATAAAAATATGATTGAGAATTGTACAAGTATTTATTCTTCACTGAAAGGTTGATTTGTGTGCCATTTAAAAATAAACTTAACAAATTTACCCCAAAGTTCTTTGACCAATCTTCAGGGGATTTTTGTCTTTTTTTTTTATAAAAAGGGTATATAGTTGATATTTTCTAGATTGAAGCAGTCAAATTTTTGTACGTCATTAACATTAAACTTTGTCAATCACTTTGATAGCTCAATGATCATAAATTTCTCTTCATAGTGTTAGGCTAATTTTAACTTTGCATTCAAATTATTTCCATTTGTATACATTGGTTTAATGTTTTTATAATTTAACTCACAGATGAAGATTAAACTTTATAATAAACTATTAAAATAAACCCCATGAGAACATTGATCTGAGATGATTTGGAGGCAGAAAATAAAATATCTTTAAAAATTCATGTTTTTTAAATGAGCGATCCAAAACGTTAGAGAACCCTGGGAAGCTTTTACTGATTCGAAAATTGTGAATATTCACAAGTTGGGGGGGGGGGGGGGGGGGGGTTGGAAAGTAAAAATATAATCACACTTTGTATTTTGATTAATTTGTGCCATTTCTCCTGACAAGTTATAGTATGATTACGATGTCAAGTGTTAAACAAATATTTATAAAGTCAGTTAGGAGACTTACACAATGACTAAATTTACTTTTATATCTTACACCAGATAGAAGATAAGTTCATGGAACATTCCAATAATGGAGATTTAACTGTAAAAAAAAATAATTTTCTTGTAGTTAATGTTAGAAAATTAATTGTAAGAATTTTTTTTATTGTGAAAAAAGATGTAGGCCAATGTTGGAAGCCTTTAGTGGTGGAATCAGCCATAGCTTGGAAAAGCAGTAGAGTGGTTCTTATTTTAATATATGGATTGCTTATTATATTAGAACCGTGTAATCCTCCGTTAAAAAATGTGTTGTCTACTTTGGGACTCTTAGGGTCACGGAAGATGCTATCTCTAAATTAATACATATATTATTTATTAACAGTTTGTGTTTCTGAATCTGTATTAATTCCCAAGTCTCCCCCTCTCCTACATGTCAAGGAATAACTATTTTTGTAAAGAAGTCTTGACCATAATCTAAGTCATTTTTTTCATATTTAGTTTGAAATAGTTTTTTCATTACTGACTGTAATAAAAACTAATTAATAAAAGTAAAAGCTAGCCCAGCAAATTATTGAGTAATTTTGAAGGAGAAAACTTAACTGCTTCTGTTCGTGTCTATAAATTTCTTTAGCTCAAATTATTGTTTGTTTTGTTATCAAACTGAAAATGGAAAAACTAGCAGGTGGAAAATTTTTTTGTCATGTGCTAGATCTCATTCCTACCTCTCTTGAGTGCATGTGCACACTTCCACACCATAATGGATTCATTCATGTTACCTCAATATGAATTAATCTGATAGGTATCACAGTGATTTGTCTTCTTGGAATAAATTGACATGCAGATACAATTATTAAGGTATTAAAAATCTATTGCTATGATTAATTAAATATACTTATTTGGGGTATATATTGTGTCCACTTTCTTAAGCATTTTTAGATGGGTAAGTAAAAAAAAAATGCAAATGTTATATGATTCAGCTGATTGAAATCTTTTGAAAAGTCTTATACATTAATTGATAGAGTAGTTATCTGGGCTAATTTTTGCGAATAATTTTTAAAAAGTCATGATCTTTGAAACTCCCATTTCATTGATATCATTCATTTTTCAATGAACAAATTTGGAACTTCAAAAATAAAAATAAGGATCGATATAAAATAATGTAGTATAAGTCCCATTGATTCAGAAAATTGAGTATGCCCAAACATTATCTTATATAATTGTAAATCCTAGCTGGATTTGACATGAATTTGATAATGTTGTAATTATTCAAAATAATTGATGTTTAAGTAACATTTTGTACATTTTTTGTGGTACCCAAATATTAGTTGCTTGATGTATGGATGGATTTTATTGTCAACATATAATCATGTACCGGTAACAAAATATTGTACTAGATTTTTATTCTATGAACTTTCATTCATGAATTTAATGCACATGTATGCTTGGATCTGTGTTGGTGTTACGGAAGATTAGTGCACCGATTTATAGTTTTGAAATGTAACATTTATCATTTACATTCTATAGTTTATTTTATTGTCTTGACCTAAACTTTAATGCCACTTACTTTTACACCAGTACATATAAAACTTATGCACATTATTGCAAAAACCTTGAACTTTAAAAATATTTTACAAGAAAAAGAAAACAAGAAAAAATTTGCCCTCGCCCCTCATTATCATCAGTGCCTTATGTGGTTGCATTGGCTCTTAGAATATTATTGGGCAACTTGTGATCTAATTAGTAGGGTGCAATTCACTTTAATTAAGCCCTGTCATGGTTGGCAGATGCTCAACCTAAGGTCTAATAGTATGGTGCAATTCACTTTAATTAAGCCCTGTCATGGTTGGCAGATGTTCAACCAAATTTCAGTGTGCAAAAAAAGAAATACCGGTAGTGTAAATTGTTTCAATTAATTAAAATATCAGTCCAGCAGGGCAGTATCAAATTGCTTCAGCAAAAACTATTTTAAAACTGTACGTATATTTTTTATTTTTGTTAAGTTACAAAAAAATTTTTAATTAAAAAAAAACAACGCCTGAGCATAGCAGCGCTCTGATGCTTTTAACTGTTAGGTTTTTTTTGTCTGAAATTTGTCAAGAACATAGCAAACTTTCATTAAGAGAGTTTCAACTTTTTTCGTCATTTATTCACCCGATTCAGATAGTGTCCTCCGCCCCCCACCACCCCATAAAATTTTAGTCTAAAAAACATATCATTTTTCTATAATATATGCTGGTCTTTAAATAATAGACCTTCAGACATTACTACACCCTGTCATAACGGCGCCCCCCCCCCCACCCCACCAATTTCACACATGAAAGTTTGCTGCATGTCATTTTTTTTCCCCTCTCAGTCCCATTAATACAAAACGTTGGAGGGCCAGTTGTGAAGAGGAAGCAGCACACCCCAGAAGCAAAATATGTATGAGATTGAGAGTGCACTTTTTTTTCCCACCATTGAGTATTGTTTCAATAAGCCTCTAGGTAACAAAGAATGGAAATGCACTGAAGCGTTTTTCTTAATTTTAAAAAGAACTTATCAAGATTGCCAAATTTATTCCATAAATCTCTGAACCATTTTTTTTTTACTGTTCTGAAGTTTTAGTCACAAACAAATTTGAATTTGAAATACTTGGCTGAATTAATACAATAGTTAAAATGACATTCTGAGAATTAAAAAAAAATAAAAAAAAATTCATTGTTTTATTTGTTCCCCCTTTAGTTGTAGTTTCAGAATGTCTTCACCAATCACTGTTCAACATTGAATAATCTCAGAACATTTACTATTCATCAAACATGACAAAAGGTAAATACAAAGTAATTAATATTAATGCCTGGCCATCACTGCCTCCACACTAATAGCAATACATAGATGTTTCAATAATGTACATTCCACAAATTCCCAATTAGATCAATATTCTAATTTCCTTCACCATTTTTTATTGTTCATTGTACATAAGTACAGAGAGCTATGATGATGGAATAATGGTGTTTTGTTAATGCAAACTTCACTGGGCCTCATTGGAATTATATTATGGTCTTATATTCTTCAGAGTTAATATTTTCATTGGAGATAAAGAAAAATATTTTTTCTATCTACATTATTTAATATATTCAATTTTTTGTTTTGTTTAGTAAAGTTATAAAGAACATAAGGTTAAACATAATAAGCCATTTTAATTTGCATGTATTATTGGTACAGAGGTAGGTAATTGGTAAAAGAACATTTTTCCATGTTTTATTATGAAGCATATTTTTTACACCATGTTCTCATAACCTTAAAAAAAAAAAATTAACTGCATCATTAGTAAAGCAAATTTAATGGGTACTGAACAACAAATTTTCCCTACACCATCTACATTATCTGTATTCAAAATATATACAGATAATTGAGTTTTAAATTATGCAAATGGTAGTTGTATGTTACATCCAAACATGATCCATGTCCTGAATAGTTTAAATCTAATCCAGATTAAAGTAAGTTTTGATTGTACAAATCAACACATCAGGTGGATGATAGTGGGATACAGAGGGCTGTACGTTGTTCAGTTTATTTTGTTTAAGCTGAATGAACACGTTCATTACGTAAAACAAAAAGTCATGAAAATTTTTGTCACATTTTTTAATACAGTAATTTTACATCAAATTCATAGAATTATATGTATTTAACATCAATTGGTAAAAAATTGTCCTGATTATGTCATGGCCATATTATGATGATTATGTAAATAACCACACTCATTGGTATGTATGAAAGCACATGTACCATACACTTTCTCTAATAATGAAATAGTTTTCAGAACATGTATCAATTTTTATTGAAATGAAAGATGAGGCAACTATAAAAAATAAATACAATTATTTCACATGGCTAAAAACAATTTGGAATATGTTTTTGTTGATTATTACATAATTCCAGGAAGCAAATTCAGTTGGGGTTATGAAAATTTTGTAGAGTAAGGCGGGCTGGGATTTAAAACAAAAAATTGTTTCCAAAAATAAATTTTATGACACTACTCTGCAATTGCTTTTGTCTCAGTTCTGAGATACAAGAAGGCTAAAAGAAAGTAATAGAAATTTTAAAATACCTGATGAGCATCAGTTGTCTCTGCATCCATCTCAAACCAAACTGAGGGTATCCATGCATAAAAATCCTGTTCTCTCTTGAGTGTAATTTAAGTAAATTAACGATTGTCAGCTGCTTTCATAACTATTGTATGAGCATTGAGTTACTTTGTTCCACATGGACCACTGCCTCTCTGTAAAACTATTTTGCTGCGACTTTGTCATATTTTGTATTTTCAATAGTTTAAATTAAAGAATGAAGAATGTCCAAATGTGTGAACAGAAACTTGAACAGTACATACCTCTCATTTTGAGCTCTAAGTTGACACTTGAATTTTACAGATCTCTCTTGTTGTGGAAGGAGTTTCATGTGAGAGTTTGCATGCTATTTCCTGATTTATGTTTGTGTATTATAAACTGATGTAGCTGAGTGTGTTGTGATGTATTATCCCTTCTTTTCTTTATTTTCAAAGAATGCCTTCTATAATTGATGATAAACTCAAAGATGTACACTTTGTTTTGTTTCCTTTTTTTTTTAAAGCTTTTTGCCTGTTTTTAAACATTATTTTAAATATTTAGATAGATGGTATTAAAATTTTTACACAAAACATATGGTATAAATTATAAATTAAGATAGATTTTCTACATGTTAATCTTGTAAGAGAAAAACATTAGAAAATTATTTTTTCCACAATATCAGTGGTCTGCAACTCATTAGTCAAAAGAGCCAATAATCAGCAGGACGATAAAAAAAATTCTGAGACCCACATTTAATTTCAAGAACCTGTCAAGAACCATGTTTTTCTGAGTCAAAACCGATTTGTGGCCAACTGGCTGAGCCGCACTCAGGTCACTAAAAAGACTTGGGAGCTGCGATTTGCGAACCACTGCACTGTATCTTACATTTTCATAGACTTACTTTACTAATAGTATAGGAAAGAAGAACTGATTCTCTTTTGGGGAGCCAAATTCAGAGAATTAAAAACAAACTTAACAAAAACTGGAAGTTAATGCCAATTATTTGGATAATCATTTTTATGGTTAAAGATGCATGGTGCCAGAGCTTGAAAGAGAGTTCTGCGCAATATTTATTGTATTATTTTCATTGTTAGGATTATTAATTATATTTCACAATTTATGTAAAACTGAGGTTAAGTGAAGCTGCATCAGCTTAATTACAGTAAGCTGAAGTGCTCTTGCCCAGATTTTTAGCTATTGACTTAGTGGAAACCACAGTATTTTAAGATGCCTTCAATTTGAATAAATTAAGCATCCTTTGCTTTTATTTTTGTTGAGGGTGGCAGACAACAGTAATCTTCATCTAACATTGAAATAAATTTTTAAAATGTTTTTCAATGATGAATTTTAATATAACATTTAAATTCAACAACGTAGGAAATTTATCATAAAAAAAAAATGTCCCTCGACTAATTCTCTAAAATATCAAAATAGAAATGGAGTCAAGACCATGTATATCATTATTACATGTGAACAATGACTTTCCATAAATGTTAACATAATAAAAATGGGTATGGCGTCGAACAATTTTAGAGGAGACTAACAATTGATAATAATTGAAATAATAAAACAGTATTCTTTATATTTAATATTTTCTATCACACACAAAACATTGGCAGGGTGATATGCCATGAAAATAAAATATTAATTACCGTTATATGCTATGCCAGCTCAGATTTATATCATTGAGTTTGAAAATATGTTGTTTGAACAAATTCAACAAAACTTTCAGACCTTTTACCTACCCTATATAGTCATTCATAGCCTGTTTGAGCTAAACACCCCCCCCCCCACCCCAGTTTTCAACAGGAAATTCCTGAGAAGTGTATAGCCTCCTCATAAGATGAGTTTGAAAATATGTTGTTTAAACAAATTCAACAAAACTTTCAGACCTTTTACCTACCCTATATAGTCATTCATAGCCTGTTTGAGCTAAACACCCCCCCCCCCCACCCCAGTTTTCAACAGGAAATTCCTGAGAAGTGTATAGCCTCCTCATAAGCTGACCCCATAGAATATGCCAGTGTAAGCAATATGGTACTAAAGAAATAAAAAAGAAAACACTTATTTCATATTTCCATAAATAGATGAATGCCATTTGTAAAGAAATAAATGACGCCTTGTCTTTTCATGCTTGTATTCTGCTATATATATCAAATAACAAGTTAGTGTAACCACCATAGCACAATCTGTTAACTGGTATTGAATACAGGTCAGGTGCTGGTACCAAACCGTACCAAAAGGATTGAGCGCTCTAAAAATATATTTCAACAGCTGCAACTGATCTTATAAAATATGACAACCAAAAATTCCATTATTCAAGTAGGCACTTTGATACTCTAAGCACAGCCAGTCAAAGCAATCTCAAAATGAGGGCAAAAGTTCTGACCCAAATTTGCACATGGCTTTAAGGTAATTTGGTTAATTTCTTTTTTCATCATTGTTTTCAATAAAAAAAAGTCAATGTACCAAGAGAACATTATAAAAACTCCTATAAACTCTCCAACCCACTAATTGGCAAAAATATCCCCCACCAAAAATAATTAAAAAATTTCTGCTGTAGAATGAGTATATAAGCGTAATATTTTTAAAACTTAACATTACCATAATACTGAGACTGCGTAGGATATTATCTAATATAAATATAAGTCCCAAAGTTATGAGTATTAATATTTTCAAGGCATTCAACATCCAGAAGATAGACATGACACGCTTAAGACAAAAGAAAGGAGTACACTCAGAGAAAAAGGAATGTGCAGAATATCATGTGTAGGTAAGATAATAAAAAAAATGAGACCTGTATTAAGTACTTCTGTGATGAGGAATCTAACAGTGTTATTTTAAAAAAACAAATCGTTAATGTCAATAGAAATGATTTCCAAAATGCCACCAGAAATTCCTCTATTTTTTAGATCATGGCTTACACATGTCTATTCTATGACCTTTGTCTAATGTTTTGCAAATTTGTTTACAGTAATTATAAAAATAACAACAGTATCTTTTCTTTCAGAACTTTTGTTGCTTCATATTTCTTTCATTTCTTCATATTATGGCAGTTTGCCTCACAAAGGGAGATAGTGAAACCAATATTAACATTTTGGTGATTGCTCTTTGTACGCAAATACCAGAAAGGAGAAATTAGAGAAAAAAATTAGACATTTGGCAAAAATGTAGTTTAAACAAAAAAAAAAATATATATATATATATATATATAAATAGTGGAACAACATAGGATTAGACTTTTAAAAAAACGTCAGAACAATTTTTTTCATGGCTGAACATATCTTGTTCCACTATTTATTTACTTTACACAGCTTGGACACAGTCCCTTATGCATTATCCTTTTTTAATAAATGTTGAATAGATTGTTTTGGGAAAATTTGATAATTACTTTTGTCTTTCTTCACAAGTTCAAAATGACTGTTTCATGTAGTAACTTTTTGTGTAAACCAATTTTAAAATGTGCATCTTAAACTCTGTATTTCTAATTTGCTTTTAAACAAAAAATGAATTGAGTGGATTTTTTGGTGAAGTAGAGTCAGAACTGATGAACAAAATAGTAACCAAAAATATTGCACATAAAAATTAAACAAAAGCATTAACTGATGGAACATAGGAGCTGATCTCCAAAAACTAGATTTAGCATCTCTACATAAAAGCTATTTACATTAAATAAATGCATTCACAAGGGAAAACAATCAATTTTTCAGATGCTTTAGTTTCTACTCTTTATCTCTTTTGAAGATTTGCTACTATGTAAAGTAGTTTATAATTTGCTACTTTTCAAAAATGACCATTAAGTACATGTTATGTAAAAAAAGAAGACAGTTCTTCATGTTCAACATTTTTCAATACAAAAATCAGCCTGTATTTTTTCAAATTAGAATACATTTTCCTTTTCAAACAAGGGATAAAGTTTACAAGCGTTTGACAGTGTACTGAGTTAAACTACTCAGATGGCACATTATTTTATTTTTCAAGTCTAACAGTATAAAACTATGTTTATATTTAAATTTAAAACAGCAACTTATTCAATATCCTTTCACTAATGAATAAATCATCCTGAAATTTAAAAAAATAAATATTTGAAATGGATATGTTGTTAAAGCTGGAAATAGACAGTATCTGTGAGTACATTAAACAACAGTTTGTTGCCAAGAGACATTTAGTCTAAATGGTTAAAAAAACTCTGGCGTTCTTTACCATATAGTAGAGAATGGAGTTCCAGAAAATTTTTTAAAAATTATATTGGTTTTGGTTGTCGATATTAATTGTTGCAGCAAAGTTAAGTTTAAGAATGCTAAATATATAAAAAAAAAATTTGTTGCCTCAATTTAAAAAATTAAATTAGATAATAATTTAGCTTATTTGCATGTACCATTTTAATTTTAATAATATTGGAAAATGAAAAAATAAAATATACATATAATGTACTTACCAATATAGGAAAACAAAGAAGAATATCAGATGGAAACCAAGCCGAACTAAGCTTTCCCTCATGTAAGTTTTTAAGTGTTTTTGGTTGTGAATCTCTGTTGGGTCGAAAACACCAATATTTCCTGAAGGTTTCCTCACCACCCTGAAGGTGAAATAATAAAAAACGGCATGCATCAAAAGCTTATTAATTATTTTATTGATTTAAGTGGAGCAGATGCAGAAAAATAAACGAAATGTAATTGAACAGATTGCTTTCGTGACTTTCCCGTCATATTTTGAAGGACCACACCGACTCTGACACTGACCCTAGTGACTCCTGTGCCCCTTTCATTTTTAACACGTCTAATACCCTATAATACACTATAAAGACAATATACACTTACTTGTAAGTAAACCACACACCCAAAGGACAGTACAGTAGAAAGAGCATCCAATGACCAGAGATTAATAGAAGTAATGAAAGGACATTATGACTTATTAGTTCCATCACAACCCACTGAAACAAAATAAAATTTATTACACTGCAATAACATATAAACTACATTTTTTATTAAATTTTTTAGCTATATAATTATTTACATATTATACTAAAGAAATTAGTTCAAATGCAACTTGTTGCCAATGATGAATGCCAAAGTATCAAAGCATAATCTGTTCGTGCAAGTCAGTAAAGTGTAATGAATAAATTCAATAAATTAAATTGTTAGTGAATTCTATTTTAAAAATCACTTAAAATACTCACATAATTAAGTTTGTCACAGCAAACTCTGGCATTGAGGTAGTCACATTCCAAATCTGATAGCGTAATTACCTTGAACTAGTTAAGGGAAGTCTGTTTCGTGTCAGTGATTTCATTCAACATAAATAAAATTGAATTTTTTTACTTTCTGAATTCTTTCCAATGGCTGTAACCTGGTAAAACAACAACTTTTTTTTGGCGGAGTCACCATAGAGACCCAATTTTTAATTGCCAAGCTAAGTTGACTGTTCTTTTCTGGATAGAGGGTTTACCTCATACCCAAGAATAGCTAACAATCCAGCTATTTACCCACAGTTGGGGACATGCAGGAAACATAACAATTGCACCAGATAGAGGGAAAAAAAAATGCAAATGACAAGAATGGATAATGGGGGTAATTATAAGAATTTTATTTTTTAGACACACTTGGAAAAGCCAAAGATTTGTGAAAACTTGTAGGCTGACTGAAGATTCAAATTTGTTCAACCCCACCTATTTTGTTATTAAACATATGATACATCAACCAGCTTACCCGTTGGAGTGAGAAACAAAATGGCATATAGTAGCCACAAGAAAACAACTGGAGGGCAAGCTCTTAGACAGAAGAATTAAAGTAAAGTTAGTAAAGCACCTAAAGAGACATAATCAGATTTTTGAACGTCTCAACTAGAACAAATATAAGTTTTGGCCTAAATTTTTTATTTTGGACCAATCTTAATGATGGTGAAATTGCGGTGAAACGATTCCAGGATAACAATCTTCGAGTTGACTTGGTGAATGGATTTTGTATGAGATGAGGATTTTATGTGCCAAAGATATAAACTGAGATAATAGGAAAGACATTATATTTACAGTTACAGCAGAAGCAGCCTGTTTCAGATCCTCAAAAAGATAGGCTGCCCTACACGACTGCTTAACATCATCAAGCAGTTCCACGAAAACATGCCGGGCACAGTGTGCTATAACGGTGCCGCCTCAGAAGCTTTTCCAGTGAGTAGTGGAGTTAAGCAAGGTTGCGTGCTGGCTCCTACTTTATTTGCAATCTTTTTCTCCATCCTACTCCAGTATGCCTTTCAGAACAACAGCGAGGGGATATACATCCACACTAGAGATGACGGCAAATTATTCAACATTGCCCGCCTTAGAGCTAAGACTAAAACAAGAAAGGTCTTGCTGCGGGAGTTCTTGTTTGCGGACGATGCCGCTTTGGTATCTCACACAGCTGACGGCCTGCAGAGCCTCGTATCCAGCCTATCCGCTGCCTGCAAAGAGTTTGGCCTGACAATTAGCCTAAAGAAAACTAACATTATGGCACAGGGCGCTGACTCCCTCCCCACTATTGCCATCGACGACTACGACTTGGATACTGTTGACAGATTCACATATCTGGGATCCAACATATCGAGCACCCTCTCAATGGAGGATGAGATAAGTGGGAGGATAGGGAAGGCCGCAACTGTTATGGCCAGACTGAAGAAAAGAGTCTGGTCAAATGCCAAACTCACAACAAGAACTAAGCTGCAGGTGTACCAGGCCTGCATCCAGGCCTGCGTACTGAGCACACTTCTGTATGGATGCGAGTCGTGAACCACATACTCTAAACACGAAAGAAGGCTCAATGGCTTCCACCTCAGATGCCTGCGCCACATCCTTGACATTAAATGGCAAGATAAAGTCCCCAACACGGATGTCCTGTCCCAAACAAACATGTGTAGTGTCCCAGCCATGTTAATCCAAAGACGCCTCCGCTGGCTTGGACACGTCAAGCGAATGCAACCTGGTCGCATATCAAAGGAGGTGCTATACAGCGAGCTGGCGACAGGGAAAAGGTCAGTTGGACGGCCTCGTCCGAGATACTTAGACATATGCAAAAGAGACATGAAGTCGGCCAACATCGACATCTCAAACTGGGAGGAGCTGGCAGAGGATCGATCCTCATGGCGGGGCATCGTGAAGGCAGGATCACTACATGCCGAGGATCAAAACAGGGGGGAAACAGCTGCAAAAAGAGCGAGGAGGAAGGCCGGTAAATACTGCTCCACAGCATTCGTGTGTGGGAAATGTAACAGAGACTGCCATTCGAGGATTGGTCTAACCAGCCACACCAAGAGCTGCAAGCTATAAAGATAATCTATCGTCTCCCGCAGAAGGAAAGATGCCGTACATGCATACATACACTACTGTGACAAATTCACAAAATAAAGCTTTCATTACATGGAGTAAATGCGAAAACCTATGACGAAGGTTTGTCTCGAAAGAATAGATCACCGAGAATCATTTTTTATGTGAACTGGTGTTAATATTTACTTCCAACCTTTCATTACAATAAAACTTTATGATCAAACAGTAAATACAGAAAATAAAATGCCTTATTTGCTTGGTTTTATAAATTCTACATGCATTGTGCTGTCTTTCACTTTAAAAGGGCAAAGTCACCCCATTTTTCCTTAGGTTGAAAAATCTCTAAAAACCTTAATTATTAACTTAACCTGATCAAACTAAATTAATTCAGCTATAACAACAAAGTGCAGGTACCCACTCTGTACATTAGCCCCTTTGTGTTAGTTTTTAAATCAGTTAACAGTGTTGAAATTTATACTTAAAGGCCAAAAGTAGGCAAAGTCACCCCGTTTCACGGTTTTGAAACAGGACAGACTATAGACTCCAGATTCTTGCCTTGGGCCTATGGTCCATTTTAGATGCTTTTATTTAACTTGCGATTTTGTCTGTTTGCCTGGGTCAAATCTTGCATCTCAATTTTGACCTGATGACAATAAAACCCTTCATGATCAGTAGGTCACCAGTGACCTTTGAGTGACCTATGCTGGTCTAATCATGCATCTCAATTTTGATACACTTCCTGATCTCTAATTGAGCTGAAATGTTTTACACTTTGACTAAAACTAAAAAGTACAAAATAAAACAATATAAAAAGATACTTTTAAAAAAACATGATTTTCCAAATATGCACTAAAGAAGTATAAAATAAATGACAACCAAAAAATTGTTTCAGTATTATGACTATAAAAAGCATAGGGCACCAATGAAATACAATGTCAAATGACTTTTTCTTAGGTTCTTCTGTCCATTTGTTAGTTTGTGTGTGGTCAAATCTTTGATCTCAATACTGACCTACTTCCTGATCACCTATTGAGCTGAAACAAATAACGTTGAGTTCATGGGCACCACACGCTTTTTATTAGTCATATGACCATAGTAATTCATATATGAGAAAGGGGGGGGGGGGGGGGATTTTATACTTTTATATTTTTTGATAGCACATTTTTGGAAAAGTGTGTTTTTTTAAAGCATTTTTTTATATTGTATTATTCTTAACAAGTGTTCTTATTTGTATCATAGTGTCTCTCACCGGGAGGAGAGCTCATTACATAACTAAGTAACTATAAAGTCATTGATTAAGGTATCTTTGTTTGTAAGTGTGTATTTTTTAAAAAGAAGCTAAGATGTTAAATACACTAATAAAGTTCAATACTCTAGGAGGTCGAGATTCTATCTCTTAGGACATCGGCCATGAAACATGGCCTAGTAGTCCCTGGGGACTCCGGCCATGCAACACGGTCTCGAGTAATAGGAGTGCTGGGCAGTTTGCTTCCACTCATGAGGGGACAGTTTTGCGTCACAACCCCACTTGCCCAATGAGTCTTGCGGTCTGGACGTTGGTTTGGAACGGCTTTGCTTCCTCTCTGGGGATGGCGTTGCGTTGCCTCCCCCACCAGCCAGGGAGCCATACGTTCCTTGGTGTGGCACGGCTTTACCTCCACTCCAGGAGTAGTCTCGAGCTTAACTTTTTCCCACCGTTCCTGGGAGTTGTGTGGACGTGGGTTAGAACGGCTTTGCTTCCTCTCCGGGGAGGTGTTGCGTTACCTCACCCCACCGTTTGGGGAGTGGTTCGGTCGGGACTGTGTCGGGACGAAACGGTCACCTAGGAGCGGCTTTCCCAAGGCCGCATGTTACTAAAACAACATGCTTCACAGTGAGCTGCTTTTTTCTTCAAAACATTAGCACATTTAACAAGCAACAGTGGCAGGTATGCCTTAGAAAATAAAAATTTTGTCGATCTACCTGGACTGGACTAAAGATTGGTTCAATAGAAAAATGAAGTATATTTTCATGGCATTGATTAATTGCCTTATTCATTAAATGAATGGCATAAATGTTTGAATCAATTTATTAAGAACTAATGTGTACATGTTGCTTAAACATGCTTTATACTGGCAAGCATTCTAGATAATGCACAACGTCAAAGTGGCACTTCATTTAAATCCCTTAACTATGAGATTCATTCAGATGATTAAAAGTTTTTGGTAAGAGATCTAAGCCTATCTGCACCACTTTTTTTAAAAATTCCATCCCACCCCTCCAACCAAACCACTCTCAGTAACTATCAATACTGTCAACACAACGTAAACAGCATCTCCTATTGATTAAACATCAGGAGCAGAGTTGCCGTTTATAAATTTACTGATAGTTCATAAAATTTTTACATCAACTGACATTTGTCCGCAAATAAATCAGGCAGAACGCAAAAACTATCAATGGTCCTTCTATAGTGCAAATTTTGCCAATGTTTACCCCCCCCCCCCAAATCATCACAAAAAGTTAGCCCCCCCCCTCCTCTTCCAAGATAACTTCACAAACCTCTGCACCCACCCCCACATAAAAAAATCCATCTGTCCACTGTGGATATCAAGTTATTGCACCTGTGTCAGAAACATTTCCCTAAAACAGTAGTTTTAAAACAAGGGTGAAAGTGCAGAAGACTCAGAAAATAAATTTTAAATATCATTTGCTGCCATTGCTAGTTGTTTCTGCCAGCAGCAAATTTTTTTCTGGTGAATTTTGTTTGTGCATTACTGGCATTGGTAATATTTTTCTTGTATCTAGAAAATTAATTTAACAAATAAACCGATAATAAATAAATTATTTTAATTTTTCAAAATTTTACAAATTTTATTACGGGTACTATTTAATTTATACAGAAAGGGGGGGGGGGGGGCGTTTGCGGGAAATTTTTAGAAGCGGAGGGGGGATGCAGACCTGCAAAGAATTAAAGAAAAAAAAAATTTAAAAATGGCCGCCCAAGAATATTTACATAAACCCCCCCCCCCCCCCGCCCGTCCAACATTTTCCCTTCCATCTCACATCCTGTGGTGTGGTAGCCCAAATGACTCCTGTCTCCACATTTCGAAATAAATTCTGATATTTATCAAAGTCAAAGTCACTACGACCCAATACTCCTCCTCCATGGTGTCCTGTAACTTGATCAGATGCTATTCATTTCTCCGACCACACATAACCTTTAACTTTTACCATTATTATATTATTTATAGTATAGTATAACTAAGATTTATTAATATTAATTATTATTTAATAATCCTTAGCCTTGGTATTATAATTATAGTAAGCCTATACCGCCAAATAAATTAGTATAAATATCAAATATGTCATTTAAAAAAAAAAACAGTACTGTGGGCAGTGTGGTAGTTAATTACTGAACTGAACAGTGAGTCAGTAAATTGGCGAGATTTATTAATATTTTTGTCTTTTCGATTCGATTGGCTCACATGATTTTATTAAGAGAGAATCTATAAATAAATCTAATCAAAGCAAGGTGATAACTAAGTAAGGATACAAAATATACAGCAAGGAATAATAGCGCTCCTTCATCCAATAAGGAAAATATAAAAAGCAACCCATCGGGACCCATTTCGTCTCCTAAAATTTATATTTTTTAGGTCCTATGCCTATATACTACTTCGTATTTTGATACTAAATTGAAGCGGGGTCCCTTTTACCACCGAAAGCCAAGATTAATCCGAGATCGATCTGAAGTTGGTATTTCGATCACTTGCAAGCGTTAGTATGGGAATTTGCGCATTAAAAGGCAACACATTTTTATGGGGGGGGGGGGGGGGGAAAAAAAAAAAAAGAAAAAAAATAAGAAGGGGTTGCGGAAAGGGGGGGGGGGAGGGCGGTGCGCCCAGGGTGGAACTTTTTTCTTTCTACTGAAGGAGGGCATTTTCACCCAATTCCTAAGGTTTTTTCGTTGAAGGGTGGTAGAAAGCTCGGCCCACCCCGGGCGGCACTAACCTTAACTACAACTCTGGTTCTATGTAACTATCTATAATATAAGAGCCCTTGATTTAGTATTTATAGGGCCTAGTATCATTAACATTATGTGGCATTTACGTTATTTCAATATGCCTAACATACACTGTTATGTGTTAGTGTGATATAATTTATGGTGAACTATAAATCAATAAAGGCAGGCCTATTGCATTATTTCATATCATGGTTTAAAATATTTGTATTAATTTAATTGAAATAATTTACTGTCTAAATTCATATGTAATTGTTTTAGTATTGAAAAATATGTAATATTTTGTTTAGAGGAATCGGGGTTTATTAATTTATTAAGCTTTTGTTGCAGTTAAAAGAAAAAAAATGTCTTAAACGGAGGCATAGAGTCTTAATATTACATCTGACATAAACGTAGTCGGGAGAATCACTTAAAACAGGAAATAGTTTTAATTACTATATATCTAATTTCTTTGTCAGAAGAGCTAAAACACTTGCGGCTTATAACGTTTTTTTCCCTTCTTGCTGTCGCCAACACTTATCAAACTTTGGAGTTGTCAATAAATCTTAAAAGGAAATGGGGGTATCAAATAAAGGAATGGATGATTTCTTTGCTAATATGCCCAATCCTGACGCCATCTTTCAATCATGGTGGCCTTTTATTATTGCCGGTTTAGTTGGAACAATTTACGGATTTCGGTAAGTCAATTAATTGAATTTGAATTAATTATAAACCTGCCCCAACTCCAACCCCCTCTTTCCCACCTCCCGTATGTTGTACAAGTGAATTGTCACTAATGCGACCACGCCCCATAAATTGTATCACACTCCCCCGCCTATCTTTAAAGGCTAGTAGTGACCATTTTGAACTACTATAATTTATATTTATTATTATATTTATATAAAAACTATAAATTTATAAATACTAATAATAGTATACTTTATATTATTATTATTTTGAAATTACAATAGACTATACTTATGTTAGTATTATTATTATTCAATTGAATCTTTATCATCATTATTCATTATATAAACTTAACTTAGACTAGGCCAAGGCAGTTGCATAGTATTATAGTATTTATAGCCTTTGTTTAAGTTTAAGCTTTTAAATTTAAGTGTGTCCTTAAGCAGGCCAAAGCTCTAAAAATTTTTAAAGTAAAGCTCTTTAAAGTCATGTAAACAAAAAGAATTTGACTATTACAAACACTATTAATATAATTAATTGTCATATTAATATTACATTATTAATTATTATTATATCTAATTATTGAGTATAGTATAGTGTCAGTGTATTAACATTGTTGTATTATTATCAAGTATAATCTAAATTCTAATCAACCAAGTCTAATCACACATACCATGCTGTGACTTAATATTCCATCTCTCCTTCTTAATATTCTTCTTAGTAATCTTAGCCTAGTTAATATAGGACTTGCCCTTTGAGGCTTCAAACTTCAATGCCACTTTGCCATTGGGTTTTGGGATGTATCGATTCAAAATATAAATCATTGTTCATTAAAATGGTTAATGGGTAGGATTTTGTAACTGAAACTCTTTGCATTGTGGTCATAGTTATGAGTGCATGTTTGAGACACTAAAGTTAAAGGGAGGCATGAAATGAATCATATATACACCAGTATAAATTTGTCATTCATTGGTGTCTCCAGTCAGCTTTTTTCCCAGGTGTTGATTTCAATTTTTTTTAAAATTTGTTCTTGTTTAGAGGTTTAGTTATTCGCTATTCTGTTGAAAAATGCATAGTCCTGAGTAAAGCTTTGTAATATTCTGTAGCCCTACTCTGTATCTTTTGACTTTGACCTATGGTAAATAGTAATGCATTTCATTGACTAAGGAATTAAACATTTGTCCCTTTGTATATGTTCAAGCAAACTGGACTGTAAGGATTTGAAGTTAGAAAATTAGTGCATTGTTATGTTGTAATTATTTCTAGGCAATGGATAAGAGGTCCTAAATGTATTGGAGGAGCAAGACTCAAAGACAAGACTGTGATTGTTACAGGTGCAAATGGGTGCATCGGCAAAGAGATAGCTCTTCAACTGGCCAATAGAGGTTTGCATGTGTTTTTGTGGAAACATGCTTGATTATTTCATATAATTATTACCATAACACAGGGTTTTTTAACTAGGGGTGTGGGAGACAGTGTCAGAGGGTTCTGGAAGACTCAGAAAATAGGTTTATTTGCTTTTTTATTTACATTTTTAGTGTGGGGGGGTGCAGGAAATATGTTTTGAAATCAATATGGCTATGGAGTCGCTAGAAATGTTTTGAAATCATAAGGGGGTGGTTGCTTCACAAAAGGATAATAACCCTTGCCATAACATGTCCATAATCCAGGTTTTTACTACCACTCTAAATTGCTTTATGCTCACTAATGTTTAAAAAACAACCAGTCTCATTTATTTTAACCTCTAAAAATAAATGAAACATTTTTCTTAGGTGGGAAAATTATCATGGCCTGTAGAGATGAAACTGAAGGCAAGAAAGCAGCAGAATTCGTTCGTAAAGAAACTGAGAACATGGATGTTTATTTTATGAAGTTGGACCTGAACTCTTTTAAATCAATAAGAGCATTTGTGGACAGGTTTAAAAAAAGTGTGTTTGCATTTATTTATTAAAATATCCTTGCACCTTCATTTTTATTTGTTAATTTTATATAATTTAAAATCATTGAAATATTTTTTTTCTATTTGCTTGTTATATAGAGAAATAAGAATCACTTTAAAAAATTTGGATGTACGTTTTTTGATACAATCATTATTAGTTCAATTCATTGACAGCGTAAAGCTCAAAGCTGTTTCTCTTTACTTGTTTAAAACTTTTGTTCATGCTTGGTTAATAAAGTTAATCGTTACATTATTTAAAACTTTTTTCTTTTTTTTCCGCAGAAGAGAAACATTTGCATATCCTTATTAATAATGCTGGAGTGATGATGTGTCCTGAAGAAAAGACAGAGGATGGCTTTGATTCACAATTTCAAACTAACTACTTGGGTGAGTTTGATGACAAATTTAGGTTGTGGTATAAGTATAAGCTTTCAATGCATCTTATTGCATATAGATCAGATAAGAGGTATGAATACATTTTGACAAGTGTCCAAAATGCATTAAATATCCTATTAAATTTTTATTTTAACTTACAATAATTATAATTTATGTTTAGGCACAGAAAATTGTTTATAAATCCATTTATTGGGACATTGTTCTTCCTATTTCAATTAATTAAAATGTTTGTATATAGTTTGTCCTAATTAGCTCCCTTGAAATTAAACAAAATTTTTCCTTTCAAACCAAAAATGGAATACCGCATATACTTGTGTATAAGTCGAGAAATTTTGGTCACAAGCTTCATTTTTAAACGCAGAATTAAATTATCCACAGACCTTTGCTAGTTTCGATAGAATTTTTTACATTGAATTCGAGGAAATGTCCAGTTACCGGTAGTGCTAGTATTCTTACCAGTAGCTGTACTTTGACCCAGATACTGGGTATACACAGAGAGAAAAACAGCTGTTAAGGCTTGACTGATATTTGAGACCAAGCCACATGTGTCATTGCTTACTGCTGAGTCCATCAGCCTCTATCATGAGGAGGAGAGAGGGCACTGATATAATTTACGAGGATGTCACTTGATACCACAGACTGCAAGAGAGTTTAGGTCTAATGACAGTGGCCATAGTTAAGTATACAGTGGAGCGATTGCTGCCAGGTAAAATCTGACAAAATTCTATAAATCACAGAATTTCATAGCCAAAGACCTACCCTTTACACCAGTCATAGCATATTTCATAATTGTTGTTAAAAAAAGCTGCCCTCGACTTATAGATGACATAAACTTATAGAGTATATACGGTACCGGTAGTAGAATATGATGGTCCACCTAATGATAAGTGATTTGAAGTCTTTCAATTAGAAGTTGCGTCTTTTTTCATTTCTGCCTCAAATTAACATAAGAAACATAATTTTAAAATGTAGTAATGAGCTTTGTTTTTCTTGTAATTAAATCTCATTATCTTGATCCATTAATGTTTATGAACTTTGTTAGAATACTCTTCTTACAGGCCCGTTCCTACTTACGGAATTGCTGCTAGATATGTTGAAAGGGTCAGCACCTAGCCGTATAATCAACACAACAGCATCAGCACAAAATCTGGGAGATATTCATTTTGAAGACATAAATCTGGAGAGCACTGAACACACTCTTGGAGACTTATATGCCCAGAGCAAACTTGCTGTTGTCTTACATACATTTCAGCTGGCTGAAAGATTAAAAGGTTTGCATCTGATAAAATCCCAAATTTTTTAATGATATACATAAATCTAAAAGTGGTCTTTATGGGGGGGGGGCTACTCAATTAACTAAAATATTTAAAGATGACATCCCTCTTTTGAGCCTCATGTTGTAACACTGCCATACAAATTAATTCAATACATTAATAAAACATCGCATTGATAATAATAGGTGACTTCTAATTTCTACAGAGCTTATAGAAATTTTGTATTTTCATAGGAATTGTAATGAACTCTTGAGATAGAACGTACCTTTCCAATTTTACAGATAATTACAGATAAAATATTTTGCATGAAACTGAGTTTTTAAGAAATGATTTTTTTTAAAACAGCATAACTTTTGACAAAGTCTCCAAAGTGTCCTTTATTTGAAATCCCTGGTAGCCTTAATAGTGAGAAACTAATCTAAGCTCTCAATATCTAGCCTGGCCTATGCATAAAACAGATCTGTTTACTCTTAAACTTTTGGCGTAAAATTTACGATTTTTAGATGCATTTTACGATGTACAGACCTACGATTTTAAAAGACCAGGTTAAAATAATATATTCCTTAGTTTTCAGAATTAAAAAAATAAAGTAAAACAGTTTTGTCTAATGTTAGATTTAGCTCTTTTCGTATTGACAGAGAAATGCGATTGGTTTGGGACCATCCATAATTATATTACTGAGAGGGGAAAGGGGATTAATGTTGACTTGGTGTGCATAGTAGGGGTGGTGTCTAAATATTTTTAAAGGCAATAAAATAACGCCACAGGTTTCGTAATGATTGTGATTAGGTTGCTTTGTGTTTTCAAATGAACTCACTAGTTACAACAGTAATATTTAAGGTATTCACTCTAGTGACAGAGTTTGTAAACATCCATATTTTTTTGCTACGGTGCTGTATGATGTACTTTTGTGATTTAAGTATTTAGTTCTTTGGCTATTGTCAAAATTGAGAAAACTATGTTATTATTTAAAATGCATTCTCAACCGCTCCACTTGGCAGCATTAGATTTTGACATGTTTTATTTTTATAAGATGTAGTAAGTGACATTTGAAATCTATTTTTAGAAGTCAATAAGCAGCTGTACAATTTTAACATACCAGCACTCTTCTCCTCTTCACCTCTCACAATACAGTAAAATATAACAGAAATATAACAGAAAATAAAATCAGACTTCTAGACTTAATGATAATGCAGGGGTGGGCAACCTGCGGCCTGCCACATTAAGCATTGTTAACATGTGCACCTATTTCTTGATTCAATTAGCGCTTAATTTCATTTTTGGCAGAAAAGCACATTTGTATTATACATACATAACTATTTTGTGATGGTGCACTCCATTTCGGTACACTTATCCCTTTTTTTAACTGATTAAACAAAAATATTTTGAAATAAGTAATAAATTATAAAAGAATTTCACTATTTAGTAACTACTAAAAAAAATATGATTTATATAAATACAGCTTGGTGTGGGGAACCTAATGTCTTACAAGTATAATGATGAAGTGTAGAAAAATGAAAACTATATTCAGGTACGGTATAGCAAAGGTACATCCATGCATTTTGAATTTATTTTTAAAAGGAGGTTCAGCCTCCTCCCCAAACTCCACCCGCCACTTTTGCTTGGGTGTCCTCAATATCCGTTCCCCCACAAAATTTTTGTCTATCAAAGTGTCAAATGAAGGGCACCTTTTTATTTGCAATAATTTACAATGCACTGTATATAACTTTGACTATTACAATCTGGTACCATACAATTTTGAGGTGGTAAAGTACTATTCTGAGACTACATTGTACTATTTTGTGTGTTCCAGTGTAACCAGCTCCAATAAAAGTACTCATTTTCTTTACTTCAGATACCAAAGTAACCAGTAATGTAGTGAATCCTGGAATTTGTAATTCTGACATCTACCGTCACCTCCCACTGAAATCAAAAAAGTTCATCCGTGTTAGTTTTGCACCATTTATGTGGTTTTTGATGAAGTACCCCGAAGATGGAGCTCAGATCAGCATTTATTTAGCCACTGCTGAAGAGTTGGGTGAAACCACAGGCAAACATTTTAAGTAAGTTTTATTATTCAGTTTGAACAGTAAGAGGCAAGCAAGAAATTCAAAGGGTAGCAGCTTTCCAAATAACCTCATATTTTATCAATAATTTAGAGAAGTTATTAAAATTTAAAAATTACTAGCAACATTATACTTAAGAGGACTGTATAAAAAGGAAGATGCAAAATTTTTATTAAAAAATGTACCTGTTCTAATGTATTGGGCCACGAATTCACAATTTAGACAAGGTTTTTATTATTCTAAATATTTTTTGCTTGTTTCCCTTCTCAATTAATTTCAATTAAATCATTTATAAAGAAGTTGCCAGTTGTGAACAAAAAACATCAAGATAATATAATATATTAGTATTAGTTTCTAGAATATTATATATATATATAAGTGAATGTTTGTGGCTTTGTTTGTTCCACAAAGGCTTTTACATGGATTTCGCGCAATACGTCACAAAATATCAAACATTTAATAACAACATCTACCCAAATACTCTCTAAACAACATGCAATCACACAATACATTCAAGTCCTTAACAGATGGATCTTGACCAAACTTAGTACACATACACTTGATCATCCATATTCAAATACCGAAGGGTATATCCATTTCTCTGGGGCCGGGGGCGGGGGGCCCCACTTCATTTTTCCTTATATAAGCTATATAAATATCAATAGGCTTAAAATTCCTACATGAATGGATGGATCTTGACCAAACTTAGTACACATACACTTTATTATTCATTTTCTTATACGGACGGGTATTGAACTCATAATATCCATGTTTTTCTTATATAAGCGATATAAATATCAATAGGCTTAGACAACAAAATAGTTTCTATGTGAATTGATGGATATAGGCCTAGCGTTGTAGCAATACCCTTCATTGTCCATACTGAAATATCAGTGGATTTAAAACTAATAATATCCAATCCATGCAAGGCCCATCTAGAATTTTCTAGAAAGTTTGATAATTTAAAAAAAAGCTATATCTATGGCATTTTTAAACCGATTTTAATGGGACAAATGTTAAATATTAACTCTATAATTTATCTCAAGGATTTTTATAGCCCCCCCCCCCTCTCAGACATAACTAAAAGGTATTTTATTAAATGGGCCCCCACCTGGGCCCCCTGTTTAATTTAAATGTACTATAGTTATAGTTGTGCAATTTAGTTGTATAATATTTTGCATTCGAGAAAAAGATACATAGAAAATAATTCTTTACCCGTTTTTAATGGAGGATATTAAATTTAATCTAGAATGTTCCAGAAGGTTCTTTAATCTTCGACGGAGATATATAAAGGGATTTAAAAGCTTATTTGAACAAAATCGCACTGAGCATGATCCCTTTGAGGAACAGGACCCTTATGGGGAAAGAGATCCAACAGTAAACTGGAACCCATCAGTAAAGCGATCCCCTCGGGTAACAGGATCAAACCAGGATCGGGATCCTATCGGGAAAAGGGATAACATCAGAATGGGATTGGAGTCCCATTGGGATTGGGGTCTTACCAGGATCGGGGTCCTAATGCACGCCGGGTATATCGGCTAGTAAATAATAAACTATAGTTCAGTCATAAGTCTTATAGATATCAAAATAATTTAAAATTACTTTTACAAATATCTACAGGGACTCTAAAGAACAACCACTCTCTGGCAAGTGTCAAGAGAAAGTTCTACAGGAGCAGTTGTATCGGGCATCGCTCAAGTGGATCAAATCAGCGGTAGAAAGCCCTGAGGGACAGATAGGGTATAAAGGGGACAGTGTGGAGGAGATCAAATCAAAACAGCCGGAAATGAAAGAAAGAGAAGGGTCTGCCAAAATGGAGAGAGTTAGAGTGAAATGATAAAAATACTTTTCTTTCCAGTTTCCAATTCCATGTTAAATTGTCCTGCATGTTTGAAGTTAATTGTGTAGTTTGGAGTTTTAGAAAATCAGTATTCAATTACTTCAATTTGAATTACTTGTTTTAAGGCCAATGAAAACGAAAGGCTGGATGTAAATTTGTTGCATGACAATTAAAAATGGTAAAAGTAATAGAAAAGAAAAGCATCTGTTGGATCTGAGTGGAAAGAAGTGGTGAGTTGGGCCAAAGCCTTAGATTGGGCTGTAGTGCCACAGGGATGGAATAATAATAGGTTTGACATTAATTACAACAAAAAAATTATTAATTCCAAATGTATCTCATAACTCGGAGACCTTTTTTAAAAAAAACTTCTGCAGTTTCGTATGACCTTTTTTAAAAAAACTTCTGCAGTTTCGTATGACCTTTTCACTGTTTATAACCAGTATTATTAAATAACAAAAGACATAATGGAAATTATCCTAATAGGTCTAATATTGATTAAATTAATCTAAGATAATCTGTTAAATATATCCACGTGGTTGGTCACCAAACATCTATTGTGATTTGGGGGTATTTACACCCTTATTGACATCATTTATAATACAGTGGTCAAATTTTCATTATCAAAGGGAGACATATTTTGTTTGACATTTGTTGAAACCTCTGTTACACTCTCTGTTAAAAAACTTTCACTTTCAAATTATTCCACAAATGTCTTTATCATTTACTGCCATATTAATTGTTATACTATATCAATACATATATATTGTATTTTCATAAACTGAAGGCATTTCATTTGGGGATAGATAAGACTGACATTCCCATTTCATAATAAAATTGTTATTAGATGCCCATTTTATGTTTAATGAGAAATAACTGTATGTTATGTAAGCTATATTAATTTGTAGTTTTTAAACACTGTAAGAAACTGGGAAAAATTTTAATCGCTTGATGACTGCTGATGCTGCTACTCCACTTTATGTATATTATATATCAATCAATGTGCATATTCTATTTATATTGCCACAGGTATTTCTCTACCTAAGAATGATTTCCGTTCATAGCGATCATTCTTAAATGTTTTTTTATCATTATTGTTCAGAATGCACTAATTACATTATGCTGTTAGCCACATTTGATACAATGTATCAAATAATGAACATGAAGGTTTTATTTTAATGATACGTACGAGCACAAGATAAAGTTTAAATAATGCTTTAATGTTCAATTTCCGCGCAAACAAGCAAGGTATTAACTTATTCTACAGCGTAACAATTGGAAGCCTATTAACTTCAGTATTACCTGCTGATGTGGACATTCATAATCTGACATCAATCACCAATTAAATAGACTAATCAAGAAAGCTAGTAATATAACACAAACTAAACACCCTTCACTTGAAGAACTATTTGAAGAAAAGTGCTGTAAAACTAAAAAAAATGTAAGGATATATTCCGCTCACTTCACACAAGAAATTAAGCAGCTAGATCAGGGTGAATTCTCTCTCTTACTTACAGTTAGGACAGAAAGGAATAAAAATTATTTTGTTTCACAGTCTGTGAGATTTACCACATTGCTCCCCCAGGGATTACCAAATCTAAATTATCACTAATTAAGTCAATATTGTCACTAAAGGAGTTCAGTTATGGCTGATTTCTTGGCAAGACAATTACTTTAGAGTCTTGTGTTTAAATTGTTATAATTGTAACATGTTGTCTGGGTTAAAAATAAGTATTTATTTATATGCTGAAAATGAATATTTACAATGTAATAAAAAAAACATTTTCATTCATTTGGATTAATTAAGAATCTTATCTTTAAAAGTAAATTTTTAATAGAAAACATGTACAGAATTTTACTATAAATGAATCAAATCTTTAAATTATGTTGTTAGTTGAAGCAAATGTACGTAAATTGAAGTTCCGTTAATTGACAACTGCCTGTATCAATAACTACCTGTATCTTTGATCTTAATACAACAATAATTGAAAACTAAATAAATTTTACTCAAATTTTTAGAACAGAGGAGGCACTTACTATTTCAATCTTTGTCTCCACACAATTGATCATACTGGGGCATTGATAGTTCTTTAGTAGCATCCAATTGATATAAAGCATTTATCTCTTACCATATGCTACTCTTATATAATATAACATCTCATTTTAAACAAAAATCCCTAATAATGAAATAATGAATGAATATTTTGATTTTTAATTGGGCATATAATTTATTTCTTATAAAGCACAGAGAAAGCTTTTACTGTCAATAAAATATTGCTTCAACGCAGTGTCATTAGATATCTAGATCACTTTAAAAATAGAGGTAATTTGGTGCCAGACATTTCACTTAGATCTAAAGAATGGTGCTGCATGAACACAATTTAATTGTGGGCTGGCTTTAGTACCCTGCCAAAATTGACTCTTATTAAAGTAGCTGAACACTGCCATATTTTTTAGGCCATTTTTGGTTTTGTGTCCCCTTCATTCAAAGTTTACAGTTAAAGATTTTTTTCATATCACAACTTTGGGCCCCTTAAATATCTTATGCCCTCTGCAGCTGTCACACGACAGCTCTGCTAAACACTCAGATCTAACATAAGCTAATTATGACATCTGAAACGTCAAAAATAAACGTTTTTACAAATTGTATCCATTAAATTCTCTTTTTATAATTGGAAAGCCTAACATCTCACCTTTAACTTATAATTTTTTTAATGTAGCATGAATATCTTATAATATATGATCACAATAAATTGTACTTTGTTCCTAAAATTTACTTCTGATTTATATAAACAAAAAGTTTTAAATATAAATTTGTATATCTTGAAGGGACTGCAGCACAAGCTTTTAGAATCATCAAACCCATGTGCATCCCAATGCACATAAGAGATGTCGTATGTTTACTGGCTTGTACAAATTAATGTATTTCTCATCAGTACTTATTTCATATTTATGTCAAAAAGGACCATTCTTTAATACAATATTTGTCATGCTGACTGTTAAAAGTGGAATGTTTTAGTGTTAGTGATCTTTGGAATAGACCAGTATGTTGTAGCTGAATGCCCCTGTAGTAAACAAATATTTAAAATTTTATTTATTCAAGTCTATGTGCATCCAAGAATTTTTATTTATAGTCCAGAATATATTTATTGACTATGTTACATGTTCAGATTAACACATCAATGCTAAAATGTATAGTTCGGTGTGTCTACACATTGCTTTTGATCAAGACCTCACCTAATCGATGAACAAAAATATTATAATGTAAATATTCATTGGCTTCTATGATTTCCTTCAACCCATCCAGATTAATCATTGATAGAGAAATATATCTAGTCTCTCAAAATATTTATTCTTTTTGAATGTCAGTTCCTATTCTTGTTGTTAGTAATTCTATTATCATCGCAATAACTGTACCGATATGTAAGTTTGTGAGTACTGGATAATTGAATTTAATCATGCAATTTATACATAGGCTGCAATTATTCCTGATCTGATATGATTTAAATGTTTTGGAAATTTATTGTCAAATATAATTAAAATTGCAAGCATATTTTGTTCCATTATTTATTTAATTTTTTTAGTATTTCATTAAAGTTAAAGTGTTATTTGACCATGTTAGTCAAAATAATTATTTAATTCACCATCACTAGATGTTTATCCATTTAAGCCAGCACCACCTATCATGGCCTATTTTGGGCCAGTATCAATGACATCTAATTTATCTTGTTTACAAAAAAAACAAAACAACTTTCATTATGATTATGATCCTGAAAAATAAAACAACAATATAAAATTAAAATATACAGCGTTTTATTCATCATCAGATAAATTGTCATCAACTTGCATCGATTCATCATTATCATCCCCACTGTCACTCCCTTCTTTATCCCAGTCCTTCATGGTGGCTCCCATCATATAATCATCTTGTAAAATGTTCCACTTACTTGTGGTATCCTTCTGAGTTGGTTTCTTGTTTTTTTGAAAAATTAAAGAAAAGAAAGAGTGTTAGACTCTTAAGTTTAAAGGGATAAGAGCAAAATATAATTGTTTTGAAAAATGGATAAGAATTTAAGTATTACATTCCATTGTTAAACGGCAAATGCAAATCTCTATAATAATCATATTAGTGTTATTAGGAATGCTGATAAAAATTAATAAAAGAATCAATAAAATTATGGTTTATAGAATTTTTAGCATTAATAAGATTATAGTATATACAAGTTAAGTTTGACGATATACCTGATTTTCTTTTTTCCCTTTAAGAAGGTCAAGAAATTTCCCTTTAGTAAACTCAGATATCACCTGATCTTTTTTACGTTCAGAAGGTCCTACAGAGGCAAGTTTTTCTTTCAACAATTTCTGATGCTCATTGACTGAACGAAATAATTGGACCATACCCCTGAAAAGTAATACTTAACATTTAACAAGTTCTACAATTTATTTGTGTGTAATTCAAATCTATAATAAAATAATTGTATGTACCGATAATAAAAACAAGCCTGACTATTTTAAACAGTACATTTGAATTTTCAAATTAGTTGAAGACTCCTGTAAAGCAAATAAAAATTGGGTAAAATATTAAGGATTAACAATAAATGTTAAATAAAAATGGATAGATCTCTTACTGAGTAGCAATTTTCCGTAATCTCATTTCTTTGGGATTATCCAGAACTGAAGGTGTCTTTCTACCCATTGATTCCCAGATTTTCCGCTACAAAAAAGTATTAAAAAAATTACTTACTGGATATTTAAACCTGTTAACACTAAGAAAAAAAGGTTTTTATTACTTAGTGTGATAAAATTCATCAAACATATAATAGTATATTTTTCAAATTGCAGACCTAAAATTATTTAGAATTACCAAATTCTTTTCCTCTTTATGTGTGGAAACGTGTTGTATTGTTGCTATAGAAAATATATCTCAAAAGCATGAATACCTTTTCCTCCTTGAAAAATTCACTTTTCTTAGCATTGATTTTTGTTTCTTTATTCTTTGGCTGTGAATCATCTTCTTGTGTCTCTTCCTTTGCTAGTTTTCTTTCTGAAATATCTTTTAATATTTCTTTATTTGTTTTTCCTTTCGCTAAAAGCACGCGATTACTTTTAGAAATGTCTTTAGATAGAATTCTAGCAATAACGCCAGCCATTCCGGATTTCTCCCCATCTTTTTGTCCTATTTGTTCTGTTTCTTCATTTTCTGAATCAGCTTCTGATCCTGAGTCTGAAATCCTATCCTCAATATCCTCTGAATCAGAATCTGCTAAAGGAGAAAAATTATATAATAAAATTCTCACTAAAATAAAACAATTATAATAATTTATACATAAGTTAGATTGATCAACTAATTTATTAATTGAAACAATCAAATTTCCACAATTCTACTCTAACTATGTTACTATCATACTAATAAACTAAAACTTATCCGTTACTAATACTGTTTCTGTCGCTTACTGCATACACTCTAGCGTAGGTACAATGCTCAGTACAATCACTAAAAAAATATGTAGGCCTTAATCTTAGTTATTTCTTAACAAATCAATGACCTAAGCCTACTCATAGAAAATTTGATTATAACCCTTGGCCTTAGGCAGGACACTTAGTAGGCTACTCATGGCCACTATTTCTACTCTTGATTCTGTCACTGCTTGTATAGTCACACAAGCCCTAATGATTGTCTGTCCACTGTATCTCCTTGTTAATTACTGTTAATAATTGCTCATTTAATGGGTTAGACACTAAGAATCAAAGGTGGTGGTGATTGTTGTTGTTCGCCCTTTGCATGTGAAGATGACCAAGGCCATATTACAGTGAGTAGGCAGATGACATGCCAGTCCTATTTGTGCCTGGAAATTTTTTGAGGCATAATAGGATTTTAGTTGATTCTGCTTTTCCTTGCTGTGCGCTTTCTTTGGGCATGAGCGGTGTGCTTATTCTCTGAGCATTGTGCTCCAACAGTGAGTCTGCCATGCCAGCTTGCATGGTCCATAGAAAGTGTCTCCCACAAATCAAGGTCAATTTCCATGAATTTGAGTGAAGCTTCTAGACAGTCCTTGAAGCTTTTTCTCTGCCCACCAGCTGAGTGTTTCCCACTGGAGAGTTCACCGAACATTAGTCATTTGGGAATTCTACGGTCTACAGTCTGGCATTCTTGCAACATGCCCTGCGCATCTGGCTTGTCCTTTTTGTATGAGCGTGTGGATGCTAAAACTAACAACCAAAAACATTGTTTTATTTATTATTAATTTTTTTTTTAAATCGAAAAAACCCCATAATATATTTTTTTAACCTGGTCTCATAATATCATACTTTTGACATGTCTCGGCATCCCAGCATAAAAGACATCTCAAAATCATACATTGCATACCAAAATCATAAGAGTAAACAGGTCTGTAATAAATATACTTGGGCAGCCAAACTTCTCCATATCTTCCATATAGGCCATCATACTGACTGATTCAAATGCTTTTAGTCAGATCAACAAAGGTGATGAACAATCCCCTGTGTACTCTTAACTCTTAAATTTTTCCTGGCCTGGAGTTGGCGTGCTGCAAATATGTCAGTTGTGAACCATTCTGATCAGAATCCACATTCGATGTGACATTGGCTTTCAGGAAGTAGTCCTTGTTCAAGATGTAATTGTTAACTATAGGGACTCTGGCCAAGATCTTCCTAGCTATGGAAAGGAGAGAAATGCCTCGATAGTTGTTGACTGCCATTTCTATTAGTAATACATGACAAATGCGAATTAAGACTCAAAAGAATACCTACAACTACAATGATTGCAGTTTTAAAAAAATGAGTGACTTTTTTCTGTCACTCAGTTAAGTGTTCAACAAATTCAATTTAACAGATCAATACTCAGTCCAGTATTGCCATTCCCCAAAGTGAAAAATGACATAATCACTGCCCTTAGTTTAGTTCACACAACTCTTGAGTCTCTTCTTGGCAAAAAAACCCATGCACAAACTACACAGTAACTTTAACCCTACTTTTTTTTTAGACAACTGCTAGGAGACACTACACTGTCTCAATTCTTCTTCTTCTATATCTTAAGGGCCCACGATCAATTGGTTGCTGAGTGTCTCTACTAGATATCTGACTTAAATTCTAGTACTTCTTTTCTACTACTACTAACTTATTGATTAGCCTTGAAATCAGCAGTACAAATCTTAGGGAGGGCCTGGCCTAGGCCTAGGCCTAGGGCCTAGCCTAGGCCTAGGGCCTAGCCTAGGCTAGGGCTTTAAAGTCTAACAATTTAATAAAATAAGCCAATTGAAAAGCGTGATTTAATCTCTTTTTTAAAAATAATCTTATAGATAGTACGCTATTTACAGATCTTAATTACTTTCTTGGTCGTCATCTACTTTCTCCAGATTTTCCTTTTCGGTGTCACTGGCACCTTTCACCATGCTTACTGCCGCCATTGTTTTTGTTTACATTCAGTGCGCCTGCACCGTCCGCTACACACTGATAACAAAAACACATGAAATTTTTAAATAAGAAACGAAAAGAAGAAACGTGGAGAATTATTTATCCTGCATGCGGTGTGTCTTGGGTTTCCATAGGAAATAAGTCTATCAACATAAACAAATGCATAAATTTGTAAAGAATTAGAATATAGAATTATTGGGAGCAATCTATTACGATTTATAAGAAAAGTCCTGAATTGTTGGCGTAGTTAAAAAGTTATCTTACGACAAATAGTTCAGTCATTGACACGCCCCCTTTTAAAAAACACTGTGTTCAATTTAGCTATGAAGAAGGTTTAACATGGGTACTAACTTTGAGTACAAGTATGTAAAGCGCATTTCAAAATTTTGTTGGAACAATTCTTTGTTTAGATAAATGTGCTGCTTTATTTTTAGTTATTTTCAGAAAAGGAAATTAATTATAAGGTAGGCCTAAGCGCTTCAGACGACTTCAGGCACATTATTCATTTGTCACAGCTTTCCATTTAATTTCATTTTTCATTATTATTATTATTATCTTTCATTATTATTTATACACCATTCTCACTTGCAATATTAATGACATTGTATTATCCATGCACTGGTCTTAGATTTTGCTAACTATAATTTAATGTAAATAGCCAGTAATAGGCCTACATTAAAAACATTGTAAAATTCTGCTTATGAAAGTAAATTAGAGTATCGAGTGTTAAACAAGATTAACTTTAAAAAGAAAAAAAGTTCAGCAACTCTTGAAAATACATTTAAACATTAAAAAAACCCAACTATGTACCGTAAGTAAAATGTTTGAGACTTCTTGTGTTTTTAATTTTTTCTCCCTCATCACACCCCTGATTTTACGAAAATGATTCAAAAGTTATACTCATTAGCATGTCCGTGTGCTTGGTTTGGTTGGAGGGGGGGGGGGCACCCACCATACCCTTGAAACTTCTATTTGGATGTCCCATTACAGAGCAGTCATAAAATAAATCTATAGACTGTTGGTGTATATCCTCATTCGCTTATATACAACTTGTCCGCAAGTTGAATATAAGCCAAAGGATTAACACCATGGTTGGTGTCACCCAATGCTGTCAATTCACGGTGTCACCCAATGCTGTCAATTCACGGTGTCACCCAATGCTGTCAACTCACAATGTCACCAAATGCTGTCAACTCAGGATGTCACCCAATGCTGTCAACTCACGATGTCACCCAATGCTGTCAACTCACGATGTCACCCAATGCTGTCAACTCACGGTGTTTCAAAATCCGCCTGCTTTGATGTTACCCAGCTCTGGTAAAAGCTCGACACCATGTTTTGGTGGCACCCTTTTCTGGTGGCAACCTGCCCTTATATTTCTTTGATCGGATATGAAAAAGAACCACATCGTCAGACCGGTCTCGTACGTCAGTCGTGGACAGGGTTTCTTTCAGCTGCATCTCGGGGGGGGGGGGGGAGGGTTACTGCCCCCCCCCCCGGGAAAGCCAAGTGTCCCCCCCCCCGGAGCAAAAATATGTCCAACAATAAATCAACTGGCACTACCACCCCACCCCCCGAAAAATCTGAAGTGCCCCTCCCGGGGGAAAATTTCTGAAATAATCACTGGTCTTGGATGCCGGTGAAATACGTTGGAGCAAAAGACTTGTATGTTCTACATCTGTTCGAACTCACTAATTGATTCTGCGTAAGAAGGGTCTTCTGAAAAGTAGCGTCACAAGGGTGGTGGGGTGCTGACCGCACCGGGTGATACCCTCAAAGCGGGTGTCACCAAAAGGAAAAGATGGATGATGATTCTGTTGTTTCTGACCTGAAACAAAAGTACATACTCGTGACACACGAGCGTGCAGCTTAGACAACGTGACGAACTAGCAGCTCAGACAACGTGACGAACTAGAAGCTCAGACAACGTGACTAACTAGCAGCTCAGACAACGTGACGAACTAGCAGCTCAGACAATATGACGAACTAGCAGCTCAGACAATATGACGAACCAGCAGCTTAGACAATATGATGAACTAGCAACTCAGACAATATGATGAACTAGCAGCTCAGACAACGTGACGAACTAGCAGCTCAGATAACGTGACGAACTAGCAACTCAGACAATATGACGAACTAGCAGCTCAGCCAACGTGACTAACTAGCAGCTCAGACAACGTGACGAACTAGCAGCTCAGACAACGTGACGAACTAGCAGCTCAGACAATATGATGAACTAGCAGCTCAGACAACGTGAATAACTAGCAGCTCAGACAACGTGACGAACTAGCAGCTCAGACAATATGACGAACCAGCAGCTCAGACAACGTGACTAACTAGCAGCTCAGACAATATGATGAACTAGCAGCTTAGACAATGTGACGAACTAGCAACTCAGACAATATGATGAACTAGCAGCTCAGACAACGTGACGAACTAGCAGCTCAGATAACGTGACGAACTAGCAACTCAGACAATATGACGAACTAGCAGCTCAGCCAACGTGACTAACTAGCAGCTCAGACAACGTGACGAACTAGCAGCTCAGACAACGTGACGAACTAGCAGCTCAGACAATATGATGAACTAGCAGCTCAGCCAACGTGAATAACTAGCAGCTCAGACAACGTGACGAACTAGCAGCTCAGACAACACGACGAACTAGCAGCTCAGACAATATGACGAACTACCAACTCAGACAATATGACGAACTACCAATTAGACAATATGACGAACTACCAGCTCAGACAACGGAATGAACTAGCAGCTCAGGCAAACAATGAACATGTCGACAAAAAGAACTTTTTCAGTGAACAAAGAAGTAGAGGTCGAGATCACTATCACTTTGAAGTTTTCTCTCGGACACAGCATAAAATACGTTGTTTTTTTTCTTCTTCATTTTAGAACACATATTTAGATCAAGCCTATCAATAAAATTATAGATACTTCTATGCATACTAAATTAAACCAAAACGACACTCAAAAAACCCAAGAAAACGAATTGGCTATTCGGTAACGTGTATCAGAATGAGAGGTTGGGTTTAAAAAATATTAAACATATTATTGATAGGTTCGTAAGTCAAAATTTTGTATCAAATGAAAGATGATTGTTTGTATATGTTTGTCAACTTACTTATTCAGTTTAACTAAAATAAACGACCACAAATGACATACGAATAGCGGCATGACGGGTCCCTTTAGAATTAAATTCTATTTCGGATGTCATTTGTGGTAGTTTATTTTAGTTAGCGGGAAATGTTGTGTTAACGAATTTAGTGTACATAATAACGAATATTCCTAATTAATTTTTTATATAAGCATTTGGTGCATATATATATATATATATGGTGCATAATTATCCAATGTATTAATTATACCGCTGGGGGTCAGCTGATTGAGGATACAAGTAAAAGACATGGATGGTTTGGAAACAGAAATGTCTGCTGCTAATGTTGATTCAAACAAAGATACTGTGAATGTAATGGTTAATGACAAAAACTGATAGATTTGATCAGATGCTCCTCTCTGGAATGTACCAGTTCCAGATTATTTTCGGTCTGAAATTATTAAAATATGGAGCACCTCGTTTCAGAACAAGGACGGACTAATCAGCGTAGTCACAAGGCAGGGTGCGAATCTAAAGGATGTGCTCTCCAATTAACAAAACAATGGATCTACTGGATGATAAGATAAGATTCTTTTATTGATCCAAATAAATGGAAATGATGCCAAATGGCGAGAAAATACTGCGGTCGTGGATGGTTTATTCACATGTCAGTCAGAAATTGTATTTTGTTTTTGCTGCAGATTGTTTGCTGTTAATGTTACAGAAACAACATCCAAATTGTTACTGGCTTTGATAAATGGTGGAAACTCAGCCCAAATATTACAAAATCATGAAGCATCGGAAGAGCACCCATGTTGCCTTGAAAAGTGGAAAGCATTGGCAGCAGAACTTAGGATACACAAACCAAATGATGCTGAAAGTATAGCTGTGATGGACGGGGAGAAGAAAAAGTGGAGGGATATCCTGCACAGGTTGCTGGGTGTCACATTGTTTCTTGCAAAGCAAAATCTGGTATTTCGTTGCCACAACGAAGACGAATCTTCACATGAAACTTTCTTGAAATGGTTGAGATTAGCCAGTGCTAAAAGAGAACCAAATGAGACTAAGGAGGAGTACGTATACAGAAAAAGCATCCGCATATTACCTTTCACCAGAAACCCAAAATGAATTTATAAATGTCCTTGCAAATCATGCGAAGAAGATCTTATCATGGACGTAAAGGTTGCGAGGTATTTTGGAATTATGTTCGAAATTACACCTGTTATATCACACACTAACCAGATGTCTGAAGGGATCAAATAGCCTATGTGGAAATCCACAATGGGAAAGTGAAGTGAGAGAAGTGTTTCTTGGATTTTTCCCGTTAAGGGGGGGGGGGGAAGCTGCTGATCTCACTTCTGATATTCTTACAAATCTAAAAACGTGATGAACTAGACATAATGATGTTCAGAGCTCAAGGTTACGATAATGCTGCAAATATGTCTGGAATCCATTGGAGGTGTTTATGCCATTCTAAAAGGAATAATAAGACAATAAAAATAATGGATGTTTGGGCCATTCGCTTTACTCGTGTAGTCAACACTCTTTTGCAGAAAATGCTTCATGTATTACATGTTTCGGTACTCTTGAAAGAATATTTTCCTTCTTTGCTGCATCCGCTCATCGATGTTACAGTATGAAGTTGAATATAAGCTCATGCCAAATGATTACCCCGGGGCACGCCATAACCGTTATAAATTCAGTTTATGTACGCACTGGGCAACATAATGCCTTTCCCAGACCATTAAAAACGTCCTTTTTCTCGATTAAAAAGTCTAATTGAAATACTGAATTCATCTAAAATCCAAAATGCACCTCTTGATTTAGAAATAATAATAATAAAAAAATTATCCACCGCTCAAGATTCATCGGCGCCCTCGATTTATGCCCTACTTTTCGATAAAAATCATCGTCGATTTAGGTGCTGATAGATACACTGCCTGGTGGCATAGCTACTATTAATGCCGCCCCGGGTGGCGAAAGATTTTTGCCACTATCCCTTTCATGATAGAAATTTTGAAGTTGTCCGAAAATCCACTCCCCCCATATACAGAAAAAGTGACACTTGTGTGGATCACCCCACCTGCCCCCTTTCTTTTCTACTGGCAGGGGCGTAGCTAGAGTGTTTGACGTCAGGGGACGAGATTCATTTAAATTTTGAAGTTGTCCGAAAATCCCCCCCCCCCCTATACAGAAAAAGTGACACTTGTGTGGATCACCCCACCTGCCCCCTTTCTTTTCTACTGGCAGGGGCGTAGCTAGAGTGTTTGACGTCAGGGGACGAGATTCATTTTAACGCCCCCCCCCCCTTTCCCCCCATCTTTCTCAACGCTGAAGCCAATTATTTTCAACCATTGTTAAATATCACATCACAAAGGCTCATTTTAGCGCCCAGGCTAGTCTGGTGGCCGGGAACGTCTATCACTCCAATCTACCAGCCCTTAACTACGCCTCTGGCGACTGGCACTGCCCCCCCCAATAATTAAAATTAAAATCCCCCCACCCACACCTGAGGAAATTGTCTGAAAGAAGCACTGAAAGGGAGTGAAACATTATATTAATGTAGTTCAGTGGCGTGAAAAAGCGTAGAAAGTTGACCTGGAGGGGAGGGGGATTCTTATAAAGTGCATTACTTGAATGCATGTTTTGTCAAGAAACTTTTAGTAAATGGTACGTTCGCGCATTGTGGCTGCCATTGTTTAAACCCTTATTGATATGATCAAACGACACCTTTGCATTTACATCCAAGTCTAAGATTTACAATGTGGCCCAGCGCCGTGCATGTGCACAAGTGATTGACCAGTAAATCGGTGAGAAACGCCCGCAGATTTGAACAATGGATGATGCACACGACGTCAGTGTCACTATTGAGGGAACGTCCATGGATGATGAAAGCAGCACGGACAATGCATTCAGTGCAGAAACAGGACGCGCATCGGTTCACCCCCCTAAGCAAGCATCAGCAGAACAGAAAGTAAAAAAGGGAAAGGAAACAACTCTGGACGCTGAGGTATTTTTTTCTTATTCAAATGTTGTCCAACTGCCAACTGGTGGGTAATCAAAATACAATAAACTTGATACATGATACACGGTTATATCTTCTTTCAATTTGCAGCTTTCTGCTAAGCCCTATAATTAAGTTTAATAGGTGTTCACAATAAAATGGTAGAGGGATATTTAAAAAAAATCGATCAAGTTCCATTTAAAAAATGGATCAATTTCCATCTTCACCTAGAGGATAGCTGACAGGAGCTAATGACACCCCCTTCCCCACCCCAACCCCCGATACAAAAAAAAATAAATCATTTTCAGATATCAGTAAATAAATAATAATTTTCATGTAGGTTTATGTTAAAAAGAACTTTTTATGCAGGTTGGGTAGGTTTAGATAATAGTCTATATAAGGTTTTAAGTATTTACAAATTTCATAAGTGTGACGTTAATGATTTATTGACATTGTAACCTCCTTAAATAACCTCAGTGGTCCCAAAATTCTGTAACGCTATTAATTTTAAAATACTTAATTTTTATTTTATTCATTCATATCTCATTCACAGGCTCTCTTATTGGCTGCAACTCTTGTTCTTGATGCAAAAGTTGGCCGTAACTTAGATTACATTCTGGGTGAAAAATATGTCAAGTAAATCTAACATCTAATTACAAACACATTCAAAGACAGTTAAAAATTTTAAAGTAAATGTTGCTTAAATCAGTGCTTCACACACTTTTATGTTTTCCCCCATACATATGATATTTATTTATTTTGAAAGAGGGTATAGAAATGAAATTTATACTCCCATAGTTGTCTTAAAGAAGTTTAAATTTTTTGTGTGTGTGCTTCAGATCATATCTTTGGTACAATTCAGCTTATCTCCGCTGGGCATTGTATTTCTGCATTGCCTTTAATCTGTCTCTGGCCATTTTTGAGGAACCTGCAGTACCTAATGCAGCAATCCCATATTGGGTAAGGAAAATCTTAATATTTTCTTACTTTATAGTACAAAATGGGCTAGTTCTTAAAGCTTGCTTAAAGTTCTTTAATTAGCAATGAGGAACAAGATGAAACTATTTTATTAAAAAAACAACATACCAGTTACAAGGTAATGAAGTAGTGAGGAATTAGGCAAACAATAATTTACTCTTTAACTCTGATCTAGGTAGACAGGACCAGCCTTCCTTATAAATTGGCCATTTTTAATTATGATCTATTATTTAATTTTAATACATAAATATGTTAAGTTCATTTAATTTTTTTTTTTTTAAAGAAAGAAATGTAAAAAACAGAGCTACAGAGTCAGAAATTAATATTTAAAGTTCAATTTGCAATATTTGCATACCACACAACATTTAACAATATTTGACATTTGTCATTAAAGAGAAAACAACTGAACATGACATTCAAAAAATCCATTTTCTAAATTAAACTAGGAGTCTGTCAAATAACCTCCCTTTCAGACTTCACCTCAAAGCACAACTTCAATTTCACTTGTTTTATTATTATAATTTTTCCTAATTATATTTGGTAAACCCAAAAGGTTATAATTTCGTTTTGCAATCATTTCAGGGTACAATGATCATGGAATTTTTTTGTCTAAGTTATTTCACTTTTCGACTTCTTCATGCCTTTTATTTCCAATATTCAAAAGTCTTCATTAAAGATGCCAAAAATATTGTCGTCTTGATGGTTATATTGGTAAGCATTATTTATTTTGATGCAATGTCTGAGGAGTCTTAAAACTATCAATTAATTTTACTGCTTAAAAATGAAAGAAGACGGGTTTGCACTACAAATTATATATATTTTTTTAAAAATTGTAAATGAATTATCTATTAAAAAATTGATAGTTCCATATTATATTTGTTTGTTGGATTTCTTCTGAACAAAAATTAATTTGATTTGATTTTTTCAATTTAGATACAGTACAAAATGTGAAAAAAAAAAAGCAATTTGTGATTTTTTCTTAAAATTAAAAGTGAATAAATAATCAACCAGGAATGTTTCATCTCATCCTAAGCTTACAATATTGGATATGATTTGTTACATCATCTGGATTAATGTAGCACCTGATACCCACCCTGTCAGATGGTCAAGACCCCTTAGACCTTTGTTCATTATCAACTTTCCTGATGGGAAACAGGTTTGTTATTTTTTAAACAGGATATATTTTTATATTTCCTTTGTTCTTGGCAATTTTAGTTGTCATTTCTGGTTTCAGTACATCAGTACATCTGCCTGTAGCCTAGCAAATATATTTATCAGTGGTCAGTTGTGTATATTCATACTTGATTTCAGAGAGGACATGTGATCAGCCTATCCCTTTCATAGTTTTTATTATCCATTTAGATCAAACACAAAAGTTTAAAAAATTACATAAAGTAGCATCGATTATGCATGATCTGATTACAAAAGTAATGGGTTAATATAGAGTGGGGGAGGAGGAGGAATGGGTATTTAGACAGTGGAAATATGATATTTCTGTTGTCTAATTAAATATAGATTGTTGATTGGCTGTCATAAATGGTATACATATATAGTTATGTAGGCCTATAAATGTATGCATAAATATAAATAAATATATTTATTTACATATTTAATTAATGTAAAGAAATAGATGCAAACCAAAACCAAATTTAACTTTTATTACCTAAATCCTATGATTGGTGCATCTTACATATTTACTAATTTAAATAAACCAATCAATTGAATGTGACCTTATATCATGGAATATTTTAAATGACACTTCATGATGAATCTACTTTTAATCTCTATTATTTCCTTTTAGATTCGCAGAGCTTTTAGAAATATCAGACGGACAGTGCCTGATATAATGAACGTTCTTTTCCTATTTCTGTTGAGTATCCTGCTGTTTGGTCTACTGGCACTAAAGCTGTTTTATAAAAGGCTAGTTGGTCATTATTTTGTTCATGACAATTTTGAGTATTATTTTTTAAGGAGAATAAATGGAAGAAAGGACTACATTTAATACAAAATCAATTTGAAAATAGAGTGAGGTCTTGCTCTATACATCTTTTTATTGTTAATTATTAATTTGTCTTGATTTTGGGATGAAATAAATAATTTATTTTTTCTTCTGTCTTTGCTGCAGTTCAGTGAAACAGGTGAGAAATTAATCGCCTATCATAAGGTAATTTGAATGTCTTTTTCTTTGGAATGTTCATATCATATCATATCATATTTTAACACAGGGAAATAACCTACCCCTCGGGACAGCCTTATTTCAGAAACTACTTTGATTGTATTTGGGATCTTTATGTCTTGGTGACTACTGCTAACAACCCTGATGTCATGTGAGTCCTAATGTAACTTGTTAAATATTACCAACAACTACAAGTGAATAAACAAACAAAATATTCATTTGTTCCTTTAAGGAATGGTTTATGATTATTTTGTTAATTTATTACTGTTAATTTTATGTTCCCAGATTTTTCAATAAAAGGTTCAAGGCAGTATATAACTAAAACTTTTAAATAGATGAATAAATAACTTATTATGATTTTTTATATGAATGAAGCATTGTAGAAGCTTTAAAGCTATTACAATTGCAATTACTGGAGATAATTTACAATATAATTAAGCAATTTCCCTAAGAGATTGCCTAATGAACTTTGCACAATCAAATAAAGAAGGGAGCTTGTTGAAGCAATGCCTTGAACTTCCTCAGAATTTATTTTCTTGAACTCAAACTTGGTATAACTTTTAAAAATGAAGTTCTATCTTACACAGGATGCCTGCTTATGACAAAAGTAATTGGTTTGCACTGTTCTTTGTCATTTACCTGATTATCTGTCTGTACATCTTCATGAGCATTGTGCTGGCTACAATATACAACAACTACAAGAAAAATCTCAAGGTGGAAATCTTTTTTAAATTTTATACATATAAGATGACATGCATAAGAAAAACGTAAATGTCTGAAACATCAAATATACTTACTTAAAAAAAATTATTCATCCTTGAGAATGTAAAATTACTTTAAAGAAAGTTCTTATTATACCATTATTATTGTACCTATCTTAGAAATCAGTGAATAAATAAAACTATGTTACTGAAAACAATGATTTCTAGACAAATAATGGATGACCACCTATCATCATAAAATTATGTATATGAATGATCTCTCATAACAATTCAAAATATAGTTTGATATATTTATGTAGGTTTATAATTTCTGTTTGCTAATCTCTGATCAGAATGAAATAAAAGCTGCTGTATTCCTGAAGCGTCAGAGACTAGCAAAGGCTTTTGATTTGCTGAAAGTAAAACGAGGCAATGAGGAAGTGTTAACATATTCAACCTGGAAGCAACTTGTAAAGTTCATTTTACCCGGAAAGTCAGATGTGCACACAGATCTTCTCATGAAAATCCTTGATCAAGATAACTCCAATGTGTTAAGTAAGCAAAATTAGATACAAGTATAAAGTAAATCAGGCTTTTCAAACAACAGTTTGCACTTGGCAGGGCACAGCATTTCTTACATGCATTGCTAAAAGTGTCATTATGCTTTAGTATGGAAATGTGCAAGAAGATAATATTATTTTATAGATCAAATAAATGAAAAGTTTCGTATTACATTTTACACCTTCATTTTCAGCACATAAATAATTACATATTTTAACCAAGAAAATATTTTACAATTAGAGCAATTTCAACACAAGACATCCTTGTTCTCAATACCATTGAAAAGGAAAGATTTTTTAGCAAATTCAGAACAAGGTTTAATTTTTTGTGAATGATGTGTGATATTTAGACAGTCTACTAAATTTAAACTTAAATGGCGGAAATTCAACTTTTTAGTAAAATTAACAGTACCTATGAGCAACTACATAACAAAAAATTACATAAAATATTGTCCTCAGTGTATAAAAATTTTTGATTGGATTCAAGCTTAAAATTGTACATCTTATTAGTTTTTCAGTTTAAAAAAGTATGATTTAAAGCGGAGGAACATTTGGTAGCCAGATTGATGCATCTGATAATCAATTTCAACATTTTAAAAAAAAATTAGTAATTCAATAAGACTCTAAGCATATATAAGAATCTATTATAGGTGATTTTGTGAATAATAATTATTTCAATTCTTAGGATTCATCAGAGTTATCCTATCATAAGTTATACATTTATTGATAATTTTATTAATTTTTTTGTTATTACTCTTTACATATACCACTAACAGCTTGCTTTAAAATCAACAGATAAGAAAAGTTTCCTCAATCTGTCTGATCTTCTTCATGTTAAACTTACGGAGGTGAAAGATCGTCAGACACTACTGGAGAAATATTTTCCCTCTGTGTACAACCATTATGTTAGCGAACGTTTCAAATTAATTGTCAGACACAGGTAACATTTTGTCAGTGAACATTAAATACCATCTGTATAAATCTATGAATAATTTAAAATGGACTCATTTAAATAACCTTTTTAAAAATAATTATTTGGCCAGCAATTGTCCTTTTCTAAAAAACAATTAAAAAGTTAAAACCTGTTTTTTCTCTTAACATTTATTGCTACTTAAAATATTATTGTAAGTATCTTTTTTAATTGAGTATTATTAGTATTAATAATCTATATATGTATTTAAATCAACAGTTTTTCCTTTTGATTTCAGGTTTTTCAGATATTTCTTTGACTTGCTCATTCTGCTTAATGCCGTTTTTATTGCAATAGATTATGATTTAGCTGACTGGTTTTTCTTATCAATTTTTACCTTTGAAATTCTTTGTAAGCTCTATGTATTGGGAGGAAAAGAATTTTTATTACGTTTTTGGAATATGTGAGTTAAATTTTTGAATTTTTACTTATCACTACTTCATCATACAAATATTTTTTTAAATAGCTTTTTTGCATGCCATGTTTCTAAAACTAAATGAGCTCTGTACAAGAGATAGTAGTAAGTTAAAATTTTTTGTTAACTATGTTAGTATTATTTATGTTTAGGTGATTCTTGCATAATTTTTAAATATTGACTTGATAATTTAAAACAACAATGATGAAGAAACCTAACATGTAACAACTATTATTCAGTTCATTATGGTATTAAATATTAATTAAAATTTAAAAAATGGAAACATTTTTGCATTGTTTTCAATTTTAAAATTGAAATCCCTTTTTCTGTAGTAGCTTCAAAAATAAATTGTAACACATGCTATTTAAAAAAAAAAAAACAGATTTGATGTGTTTGTCATTGGTGCTGCTTTCATTGCCACTATAGTGGAGAAGGCTTTGGGAAGCAGTAAGTACAATGATGAGTCAATGTGTATTAAATAGCTCAGCCCATGGATATCAGGTCCTCACATTAAAAATGTTAATTATTTGAAAAAAAATTTTTCACAGCTTATATTTTATAGTAAAATTTGATAATTTAAGTGATTTTTGTGTGCTTCTTTGTATGTTTTTAAATGCATGATAATTCTAGGTATACTACTTGAGAGGGGTACACATGCAAAAATGAATAGCTCTTTACAATTCATTACTATGAATTAAAAAAAAAAAATTTTCATTTGGTTATATTCATGTTTTAAAATTGTGATGAGCTAATAACGGTTATAAATGCTCCCTTTTGTTAAACTTTAAGAAATATTATTGTTTTATTTAATGGCAATAGTCACATATTTTTAAAATGGTAACAATTATTAAAATAGTTACATTATTTTTATGCTTCATGTGTGTTTCCCACTTAAGATAGTGATTCTAAACTATATGTATATATTCTACTTCATACTACAGATTTTTAAAACCTATTATAAGAATCTTGTAAAATTCAAATAAGATACAAAATCAAATGAGTTCAATATATTTCCATTTAATCCTTAGCTAACAAGGAACTTAATACGCTGGACATTTTACTAGTTCTTAGAGTAATGAGATTGATAAAGATATTTGGCAGCATCAAACGGTTTGTGACCTTTTTATTTATTTTATTTTGAATTAACATAATTTGAATATATTTGGGTCTCTTTCAGATGTTTAATATTAGTTTAGCCTATATGATATATGAGAATGATAAAAGAGAATACATTCATAATCAATGTTAATTTTATTAGTAGTTTTCACCAATGGTTTGTCATTAATAAAAGATTGGAAATTCTTAATTTAATAAACTTAATTGTCTCGTTATAGATTCAAAGTCATTCTCTTGACACTTGTTAACATTGGGCCATCCATTATTACATATGGAGGTGTTATCTTTGTAAGTTGTGGACTTTTGTGTTTCATATTTTTTTTTATTTATTGAAGAATAATTTTATTCTATACATACAGTGATAATTACTCAATTAAAAAAATTAAGAAATAGTTCTTTTAAAATTTTGCTTCAAGTAAATCTTGTTAGAATTATACTTGACATTTGCAAAAAAAAAGTGATAAACTGAACAAGTTTATCATCTGTCCATGATCTAAAATGATTAAATTCAGCTGCAACAATTGATATGCATATATTTGAATCCACAGGTTTTCTATTACTTTTTTGCTATCATTGGAATGGAGATATTTGCTGGCTACATCAGTTACTATGGCTATACAGTTCAAGATAGTTCCAAGCTTTTTTGTGGAAATCTTAATCTGAACAACACAGCATTCTATCATGAACATTATTGTAACAACAACTTCAATGATATTCTCAAGGCAATGGTGGTTATGTTTGAGCTGACTGTAGTCAACCAATGGCATGATATCCTTTTTAATTAAAGATTATAATTTTTTTTTTTTTAAACACTGTTTTCCTTTTCCTTGATATTATTTAGATATAAATTATCATTAAATGTTTAAAAGAGGTTTTAAGTCTCATAAACTTTATGACCATGCATTTACTTAATACTAACACAAATTTCAAGTTTTGGAATGGTAAGAAAGTTACTTCAATGTTAAAAATAAATAATAGTTCTGAATTTATTTTAAAAATTATCCATGATTAAAAACAAATTTGTCTGTGTCCATTTATTAACTCCCCCTACATTTTATCTTTCACTATGTCCTATTTTGTGTGCCTGCATTAAACTTTTCGTTGTGTTTTTTTTCATTTTTCTCAGATGATGGATAAGTAAGCTTTCTGTTCCACCTACATGATATATGAACTAATTTTTTAATATTTCAGATTTTTGCCATGTAACATGATCCTTAACTCTCACACTTATAACATCTGGTTTTGTCGCTGTTACCAGCCAGGTGGCACGACTTTACTTTTTTGCCTTCCACATTTGTTGCGTAGTGATTGTGCTAAAGTAAGTGTTAGTTCTTGACATATTATAAAAGCAGTGGCTGTATGGGGTGGCCATGTACTTTTTTTATATTTTTTTATAGCCTTTGTAAAACTTGATTTAACATACTAAAATTAAACAACCCCTAAAAACAAAGTTTTTCGTATAATTCCTGTATAAAATGTAATATTGAGCAAGGGGTGGGTGGGGAGTTGGGGGGCTGAAAATTTTACAAAATGTATACAAGTAATGAACTGTACAAAATCCTAATTAGTGCTCCTCCCCTCAAGGCTCGCAATTGCACATTTTAACTATATTAATATTCTAATGACCCACCCACCTTTACACCGCAGATTTATTTCACCAACAATTTTAGAAAAACAAAATTCACTTGCAATATTTTAAAAACAAGAATCTCAGTTAGCGCAGTTATTTGGAAATAATTTTATTTTATCTTCCTCTTGAAAAACAGGAAAATTGATTCTTGGGGGTGGGGCCTAAAATTTGAAAGAATGTGTTGTCATCAGCAATGAGTCTATGTGCCAAGTTTCAGCTCAATAGCTTGATGGGAAGTGGGTCAATTGGCTGGCCAAAGATTTTGCCAGCCAACCACGAACAAAAGTGAAGAAATGCAAAGGATTTAAAAATAAAAGCACTCAATCATGTTTGAATGAGATTTTTAAAAAAGTAATCAAGAAAAAGGCAATATTTTGATTTTCATTGTAAAATTTTATGAAATTATGAAATAATCTTTCAACAAGCCCAATTTAGTAAAATCATAATTTTTGGGCTTTACATATTTACAGTAAGGTCGCTGTTCCCATTTTGTTTCCATTTTAATGCTTTATTGAAAAAGAATAAGTTGTCAATAATCAAACAATATTTCTTTCTCAGCATCTTTACAGCCTTTATTCTTGAAGCCTTTATTTTGGAATACACATTGCAGACTGTTCCACGCCTAGAGTCTGTAGTAGAATCTAAAATTAAGGAATTGGGTCTCGGTATCGGCATGTAAGTATATCTAACTCGGGCAATTCATAAGCAGAGCTAAAAAATTATTAAAACTTTGTAATTTCTGAAATGACTTCTTACAGGTCTATTTTTGTAAGATGCATAGAAAATTGAATGAGACTAAGAACTTTTGGATCCCTCTTTTATATTTTTAATTGTTTATGTTTAAATTTAAATTTTAGGAAACCAAAAACTCACTCCATTCAAGGTCCATCTGGTGACAAAATTGACCTGATGGAAGGAGAAGTTCTACCAGACATGGATGAACTTGATGGAAACAAGGAAGATGAAGAAAACTCTGATGATGAGAATTTACCAGATTTGTCAAAAGAGAAAGGCCTAAAATTTCATTTGAGGAAAAACAGTAAATTTGTTTTTGTTTTCATTTTTTCTTGTTCATTGCATTAGAGAATAGACAAAATAGGACTATATGGAATTTCATCATAATTCATTAGGACTTAAATCTTTCAGCCTGTGCAAACAAAGGCAAGTTAAATTCCATATTTTATTTTCACAGATGTAGCTTACTGTATAAGTGGCCATCCATAAATGATGTCACATTCATTTAGCAGTTTTTTTAACCCCCTTCAAATCATCACACAATTTAGACACCCTTATAACGCATGACTAATTTGTGGATCCCCCTTCCCCTTAGATGCGTAATGCATTTATGTATGGCCCCTAAGACTACAGCTATTTTTGAGTAGAATGATTTTTTAAAAATCTCATGCCGAATTGGCTGCTGTCTTCCAACTTCAGTGGATGTATCTTTACTCCTAGTTTACTCCCCAATGAATCTATCCACTTACTATTTATTTTATTATTTAAATGGTAGAAATCCCCAGGTTACATATTTAACTTAATTTTACCAGGAGCATTAGCAGCCACATATAATGTTTTAGCTCTACTTGTGTTGTTACAATCTAAAAATACTTTTACACTCATGAGGAAAAAGAAAACTAAATATTTTACATCTAACAGCATGAATAATTCACTAACTTGTCTCCACCAGATCGTAAGAAAGTTGAAGTTTTGCTACAGCAGATGTTTCAAGGTGAACTTGGTGATGAGGAGGAGGGACCAAAATCATTTTCTGATGTTGAAAACTACCAGAGATCAAGGAAACTTACTTTGGAGGAGTTGACATAAGCTGCATCTTAAGAAAATTAGGAATTAAAATTTTTGTACTTTTTATGAAGAAAATCTGCACAAAAATGTAATCATGCTATCCAAAAATTGAAAGGTTTAATACCAGTTTGACCTGTTAGTTAATTCACTTCAGTGAAAAATCATTTTAATTGAATCACTGCCAATAAATTAATAATCAATTTTTCTAAATTCAGAGCTTTTTGTTTTATTACACTTGGGTTTATGCTAATCAAGGTGTGAAATATGTTTGCATAGAAAAATAATAATTTTTAAAGAATATTAATATTCTATTAAACTGCAAGAACAGCATGACTTGATATTTGAGATGCCAGCAATTGTTCTTATAAGTTTTATTTTCATAATCATAATGGTGAAAGTGTTTTGAGAAAACGTATTATTAGAGTTGAAACAAGTTACAATGTATTGATATTTTTTTTTAATGTTAAATTTCATTGCTAAAAACATGATTTTGTTAATTACATTTTATTCAAATTCTCTCTGACCTTACAAATAAAAAAAAATGTAACTACATAAAATGAACATCATCAGACTATCAATTTTATGTATACTTAAATTTTTAATTATTATTTTAATTATTCACCTACAGATACACTTTTTGTCTCTGTTCAATTGGTGTAGACAGACAATTTTTTGATCCCATTCCAAGTTTGCTGCTGTTTTTCAACTTTGTTGGTTCAGGTTCTTTAACTCTCAGATCACCTCCTCTCCAAGTTTAGCTCCCTTGCTATGCCAATGAGTCCACCCAGCTGTTTGTTCATAACATCTTGTCATTTTAAAAAAATCATTTAATTTTAATAAAGGATCTATTTGAAACATTAATATTATGTATCCTAATGCATTGTGGTAGTCTCCACATTGAGTCAGTGCTGGATGAGCCAGAGATCAGTACCTACACTTTTGATTTGGTTTTATGATTATAATCAATAAAATTTATTTTAAGTTACTTATTCATGTTACATGGTAATAACAAATATGATAAAAATCATATATTGAATTTTTATAAATTTCTGTACATAAGTCACTATATTATATTTCCTCTTATTTTTAAAGGCGAGGAAGAAATATTTTGAGAATATGTTGTACAATGTATTTAAAATTTCATATCTATTAAAAAATGAATTAAATCTTTTTTTTTTCTTTTTTTTTTTTTTAAATGCCTTTTCATATAATTTTTGCACATTGTAATATACTTTTATCAGTTTGAAAAAAACTTGTATAAAAAGAAAATCAGTATTAATTTTAAAAGTTTTTTCTTAAAATGAATTAAATCTTTTTTTTTTTTTTTTTTTTTTTTTTAAATGCCTTTTCATATAATTTTTGCACATAGTAATATACTTTTATCAGTTTGAAAAAAACTTGTATAACAAGAAAATCAGTATTAATTTTAAAAGTTTTTTCTTCCAATAAATTCATCTTCTTTGTATTTAGAGGTGTACCAAAGACATATGGCCCCCTAAAGCACAAATCAAAATTGCTTTTCATAGTATACAGAGACAGTAGATCAAGCAGATAAATCTGAGACCATTTAACTTATTCAATACAAGTAAACTAATTAAGCAACAACTAATTTTCTCATTAAGTATAAATATTCTTTGTCCGAATGGCCCATATAGCACCCTTTCTAATGACTCCCACAGCATATGCAGTTGACTTGTCACATCCTATTCAAGAATCTGCTTGCATTTTAAGAACAGCTTCTTTATAAAATCAATAAATTATGATTGCTATCAATTTTATAAATACCTTGGCTCTTTCAATTTCTAAATGTTAAAAATTGTATAATCTTTAAATATTGTAAAATTTAGTTACTTTAGTATTGCCAGGACAAGGAAAAAGAACTCAAGTAATTACAATAATTTTTGACCAACAGATAGACATTTTTTATTTATTGCCTTGACAAAATGACAGAATTTTTAAAAAAAACATTGTTTGTAATATAATATGTACTTTTACGTAATAAATTTCTGATTCAATGTGCAGATGTACAAAAAGCTTTTTAAATTCTTGATTAAATAAGCTTTCAAATAAAAGTAAATGAAATGCTCCATATTTTAAATAAATTGAATTATTATTATAATTACGACTGTATCAACTGCCAATGCTCCCCCCTCCCCAACCCCTGTTTGATCAAATTATCCAAACCGTACACTTTGAGTTCCAGTCAACAATTTTTTTTTAGATATAATGACAGAGAAAATAAAATTTCTTTTGGTCGCTTATTCCCCAACCCAATCAGGTGACACCATACCTTTTATACTTTTCATCCCTGCTATCATCAAAATGCAGTAGGTCTCTCAGAGTGACTTAGCCTGGGTAGGTGACGTTCTGCAGTTGACCGAAAATGCCGCGCCTCAATATATATAGACTAAGTGTGACGCTGTGGACCCCCTCCCCCTCCTTCCTTCTTCGCCACTGCATAGGACAAAATAAAGCAACAGAATTTGAGGAAATTGGATGAGAAGTGTTTAATTAATTTTACTGAGCAAGAGTCAAGTTAACCAGCGTCATGGTATTTCTTAATTTAACATTTACTTTACAATAAAACATTTTCTTTCCTGGTCAGCAAATCTGCCAACTTTTCAATCACTTAAAATTAAAATCAACATCCTGCACCATCTTAATTGTAACATTCATTTGATAAAATCGAAAGACCAGGAAGCCTGCTCTGTCCCATGCAATTTAGATAAACATGACGGACCATCGGCTCACATACGTGACGAACTATCAGCTCAGACAACGTGACAAACTATCAGCTAATATAACGTGACGAACTGGCAGCTCAGACGACGTGACGAACTATCATATTAGACAACGTGACGAACTAGCAGCTCAGACAACGTGACGAACTAGCAGCTCAGACAACGTGACGAACTATCACCTTAGACAACGTGACGAACTAGCAGCTCAGACAACGTGACGAACTAGCAGCTCAGACAACGTGACGAACTAGCAGCTCAGACAACGTGAAGAACTAGCAGCAATTTTCCCTAGACATGTTGGTGCGATTGGTGTTGGATTTGCTTTTTTTTCTGATTGGTAATTTCTTTGCTGGAAAAGATTCTGATGACAGCGCTCCTTGAACCGATTCTGGATTCCTGCTGTCTATTGAAAGAGAGGTCAAAGGTTAGGAAGGGCCCGTCAAAAAATGGTACGGGCCAGATGTCAAGCAACAGTGATGCCCAATCTTACTTATATAGGTCACTGATCACCACCAGGACAGTAACAAGCAAACGCAGTGGCGTAGCGAGGACGTTTGGCGCCCGGGGACAAGATTCGCGCCCGGGGATAAGATCCATTTTTAGCGCCCCTTTTCTTTTTTTCAACTCTCAAACCCATTATTTTCATCAATAAAATAATATGAAAGCACATTTTGGCGCCCCTAACTAGCTGGCGCCCGGGGACATCTGTCCCCCCTGCCCCCACCACGCTACGCCTCTGAGCAAACGTTTGCCCGCGGAAAAGCGTGAATGTAGGCGCCCTTTGCCCAAAAAGTACATAGTAACACAGGGGTTCTTTTTGCAGCGCAACACCCCCTCTTGATTTACCAAACATTTCACGGCCCCACAACGACAAATAATGTCGATAAAAATTCAAACCTGATTTTCTTGGCCTTTCCCCATCCTCTGACTCTGCCTCCTGCACCCGAAAGATCCACTTATTGAGAATCCCTGTATTAATACATACATGTTTCGTGTAACATGACAACCTCGGCACCGTCTGGAGATGGCTTTCAGGGTTTATTCGCACCACCTCCCCATTTCGTCCAGCCATTGTGGTCCCATCTTGGGACTTGTTTGTAACTGGAGATCAAGAGTGTATTGCAGTTGGATTTTTTTTTTTGGGTGGGGGGGGGGGGGGGGGGGTGTCTTTAGAAAGTAATCTAAATGCGTTTCAGTCAGCTGGTCGTTGGTTTAGTGACGGGGCTTTTAAAATTGATCCTTTACTTTGTACTCAACTGAAGAGCGTCCATGCAGTACAATTTGATTTCGATCTCCCATTATTTTACAGCCCGTTTACAATGGAGACAAGCAGTGGCGTAGGAAGGGGGTGGGGGTGGAGGTGGTGGACCGCCCCAGGTGGCACGAACCATAGCTACGACATTGTAGACAAGATCAACTTAAAGGCGTGCATTAGAGCAGCTTAAGTCCGTCTAGCAAAGATTAAACACTAGGGACCATTAGGACAGACTTTTAGCCAGCCCTCTTTGGTGCATTTTCAGCATTTTTGTGTGGATGTTAGAGAGTATGCTTCTCTTTACTTTGGATAATTACTTTATTGGGGAAAAAATGGCGCTTGAAGATCTTTCTAATCAGGCAATTAAAAAAAAAAACCTATTGAAGACACTGTCCAGCCATTGATGAATTTCTTGTCAGTTACTTGGATTGATCATTCCTTTGGTGAAAATAGGCGTCAAACACAGGCTTTTCAATTGATGAGACTAACATTTGAAAGACTTACGGAAACGAATTCATTACATTGAAGGTGGACTCAAGGAATTAAAACAATTTCAGATTGATTGGCAATCTTTCACCCAACTAAATGATGGGCAATAAGTATTTCTTTGACAAATTAAATATCGTAACTGATGATATTATTCAAATAGTCAGAATCAGGGTTTCTTTCAGCTATATCTCCGGGAGGGGGTGCAATGCACCCCCCCCCGGGGAGAGCCAAGTGCCCCCCCCCTCCGGAGCAAAAATATGTCCAACAATAAATCAACTGGAACTGCTGGCACTGCCACCCCCC